GATCAGGTATAATCCTCCCATTTATCTTTTGGTACAGATCTGGTTTGATTAGGGTTCAAGTAGATCCTTGAATATTGTATTCTAAATTCAGGGAATATGATTCCCAGTTGGGAGAAGGTAGGAAATTTTTGAAATTCGCCCCACCCATTCCGCAGCCTTTATGGCGTCCATTAGATGGATCCTACCATTCTTTCACAAAGAAGATCAATAGCGATTTTATTTGAATTCGGAAAAATGAATTTCAGTTTGACCCAGTTTGACCCTATTGCCACCATCATACAATGTTCTTGTTTTTTTCTCTTTGTTTGCTTGCTCACCATCACCGGAAGTTGTAGTGGTAAGTGGAGGAAAAATTTGACATTTTGTTTTTCTGTTAGCATTTTAACGATGATGTCAGTTATTAGAAACAATAGGAATACTTTTAAGACATTATGTAAACGGTGAGGATAGAGTTAGTCAATAGGAGTAGTTTAAGAAATTTACCCTTACTTTTATTGGTGATAGAAATAAAATACAAATTAAAAAAATCAACTCAAAAATGGATTTGTTTTACTACATGATGGTGAATCAAGAATTCAACCATTTGGGTCATAGGTGTCAATTTTTTTATGTCAATAGTTAAATAATAATATAAATTAAAAAAGATGAAAACACACAAAAGTATAAAATATATATATATATATATAAATATTTGGGCACATCTTTAATATCATATATTGATCATATTAATTAAAAATAACGTCAGTTAAGTGTGTGTTGACCTTAAATAAATTAATGGTATTGATCTTAAATATTTTACCATCACACCGTAACGTCAGTTAAGTGTGTTTAGGCCCACCTCCAAGGTATCTATAATTTTTGTTCCAAATTAAAAAGAAAATATTAAATGGAATATTCATTTTAACGTTAAACAATCGCGCAAATCTGGTCTCAGCTGGCGTGATGGAACAAATAAATTAATATCACATGTATTCTAATATTTAATAACATACATCCACAAATCAATAAAGCCAACTCTTTTCCTCCAATAACTTTTTGTTAGGTTATTACAAGAATAAGGATTATTTATTAAGAAATATAAATTATAAGGGGGGGAGGGGGGGGGGCATACTATATATCTATTATAATTAAGGAATTTTAAGGGAAATGGTGAGTGGTTGGCATAATTATATTATTTCATTGCTGGGATATAATTCCCAATTTCTGTACAATTTAGATACTAGCATGCATATAGAAATTTGATATATGAAGTAAAACAAATAATGAACATATAACAACGAGTATGCTCCATCATTGATTCATTGGGTCGGCAAAATATGGGGATGGATGGAAGGAGGAGTGTATATATACGAGAAAGGGATAGCGGATACAGATGCAATATTTGTATTGGAAAGACCAAAGACCAGCTGTTGGGTTGTTTCTCGTTCCGCCGAATATCCTTCTCCCTAATTGGGTATTGGCCATTGCCGTCAGTCAATCCTCATCATCATCGATCAGTCACTGCCGCCATCGATCGTGTCGGAACTGTATATGGTTGCTTTGCTTTTGCTATATGTAATATTATTACTTCATTATGCAGATCTTTTGGCGAAAGAGAAATCGACGGAATCCATGTCGATTTCATGTTGAGTGCGGATAGGTGGAGGCGGGGGCGGACTCTGCTCATAGGCGTCTGGTTGCTGCTCATCCAAACGGTGTTCATGGTGATCAAAATAGTTTTGGTGCGAACTCCGTTCACCGTAGTGGTAGTGGTAGGAGGGGGATGGTGTGTCTTCACCCTCCCATTGTTCGTTGTCGAAGTTGGAGAATCTTGGAGATGTCTGAACGCTGTCGTCATCACTTCGGCGTTGGTTCTGCAACAGAGAAACCGGGGAAAAGCCATGCCTAGGAGTTGTCGGCCTACTGGGCATGGGCGTCGCCGTTCCTGACTTCTGGTTCTGCTTTATCTGCTTTCTCGCCGTGTGGTGCCATTTTCGTAGAGCTATAGCCACCCTCTCGTTGAAGATGGTGGGCTTCATGGTCGAACCCATCTAATATACATACCCAAAATAGTTATCAGAAAGCTAGAGCAGTAGCTAGCTATTCATTCATGAAGAATAATTAAGGAATTAATTAATGAAGTTGTTTCGGATTGGTTATTTTGTTTCTAACCTGTGTTACCAAGGCGTAGAGAGGGAGAGTGACGTAGCTACAAAGAAACTGTATGATGACTCTGCTCAATCACCATCAGGCATCAGCAAGTTAATTTGAATTGCATGTATTAATTAGCAGTAGCTCAGCTATTATATCCTAGCTATATTTCAATTCGAAAATAACACCAACACCTACGTACCCCATTGTGATTTTGATGACCACGTCTTCAGTGTGCTCGTGAAAGCAAGATTTCATCCCGAATTCGAACTGAGAAACAGATCAGACCCATGCATATGGAGGGTTCAATTCATTAATTATACTAGATCTTTCAATTCGTGTTAAATTATTCAGATCAGATTAATAACAATCTAACATCTGTACCTAGTGTAATTAAACAAGTAATTAATATAATTGGCGGCACTGCAAGAGGAGGGATCACGTGGCTTACCCAAGTCCATGCAAAGAAAGCGAGTTGGAAGGCGTTCTACATTCATGGTGCAGAATAAAACCAAGGAATTAAGCACAGCCGTAGTAGTAATAATCAAGGAAACTAATTAACTATGAGATTAAATTAAATGAAGGTAATTAATTAGTTGGTACCTGAAAGAGAACAAAGTGGATAAGATAGAGAATGAGGCGGGGGCGATTGAACCAGAAGAGGTCATCACCCGGTTCAACCACTGGGACACCTTTCACTACCTCTCCTCTGTCCTGAATTTTAAGCCCCATCTTTGTTATGATCACCTGTAGCTTTGTTCCTACCAATAGGACGATCTGCATGCATGGGTCCAGTCAGCGGTCCATAAGAGCTAGGTGTCATTTATATATCAACAAACTCAGATTTACGAACGGCACGTAGCTAGATAGAGAAATGAAACTTACAATCAATGGGACGAAAGGAAGCCATAGATAAGAATACCAGCCTGTGTACATGCATGCATATGAGATCCAAATCAGTCTCGGTCAAAAATCAAAATTGATACAAAGTCAAAATCATATTTAGGGGGTGGTTGGGTCTTGACTCAACCCCTTAATTAATTAGCTTGCCGGTGCATGTATGATGCCATCATATTCATACGATCACTATACAGTCTATGCGATGCACGGGTGAAAATAAATGAAAAAATAATAGTTAAAATTATAACAAAATTTTTATTAATGTAAATCAAATATGATAAAGAACATATAATTTGGAATGAAAATATTGACTTGACCCTAAGTTGGAAAGAATTTGGATTTAGGTCATTAGGAAGTCGTTCGATTGATAATTGACAATTTATGATTATTTTTTTGCTATTACTTTCTCATCTGTTTGTATTGTCTTTAATTTTCACTTTTCACTACTTCATCAGAAAATATAAAGTGGGTTGTGTCATGCCAACACAACATAATTTTGCAGGTTGTCTATGCTTTTAACAGGCCGTGCCATGCTAACACGTGGTCCTAGGTGAGTCGTGCCCTACCTTATGAATTTTGATGTATACAATTGTTTATATATGAAATTAAAAAAATTACAATATAATTTGAATAAAATAGTATAATAAAATTGAATATATATATATATATATATGCCTATTTTGTGATGGGTTGTAGGCCTATACTAGCATGGTACATCTTTTTGTTCTAACCCAAGCCCAACATAACCCGGGTGTATGGGTTAGCCCAATTGCTACAGTGACCAGGTTGTGTTGGGTATAACCCACTTTATAGTTTCACATTTACGAGAGATCAAACATTGGAATAGCAAAAAATGCTAAAGGTAAAAATGAAAGGATGCGATTAGTATTCATTTTTATTGAAAAAAAAAAACTTTGTTTCATAGTGTACATCCCATTTAATGATAGGTTAAATAAATATTGGAATAAAAAAAACATAAATGGTAAAAAGGGATCATGATTCAATCCGATCCAAAGTCTAATCCTATTTTATTAGATTTGGATATCTTCATTACGGATTTTCGGATCGGATTGGAAAATTGGATCCGATTAAAAACCGAATCAGATTCAGATCACCCCTATCTGATTCAAAAGGATCCAATATGTTATTTATATTATATTTTTATAATTTTTTTATATTATTTATTTATTATAAAAAACATGTATATATGATGAAAATAGTTGAAAAATTCTTTCATTTTTTTATTATTTAAATTGTTATATTTTCTTTTTAATAATTTATTATTTAAAAAAACAAAATCTGATTGAATCATATTCAAATATCCAACATCCTTATCGAATTCAAATCTAAATCAATATTTGTGAGATCCGATTGGATTGGACCTATAATTTATTAGATCGGATTCAGATATACCCTAATTTGAATCTGATCTAATCCATTTGCATCCCTATAAAAAGGGAAAGTGTAATCAGGCTTTTTAACAAAGCATTGTTACCATCCTCATTTTTATTATAGAGACTATAAAAATATATAATGGTTATAGAAAAATTAGGATAACAATGGCTAAGAAGGGACAATAATGGAAATATAAAATACTATATATAATATTATAAAATACAATTAGAATAACAATGACCAAAAAGGGTAATAATAGGAAGAGATATGTAATTAGAATAATAATGACTAAAGAGGGAAGATAATTGAAATAGATAATCAGATTACCCATCTACGATTCTCATTTTTACATATGATAATAGAATGAAATAAAAACATCCTATCTTTGTTCCTCACTTTGAATTGTTGTGTCGTAAAAATCAATGTAATAAAAATTAGGTGTAATGACTGAGGGGCAATAGTTGAATAGAAAAATCAGGTCTTTTGACGAAAACCTAACAATTCTCATTTTTATAAATGGTACAGATTGTAGAATTTAGGACTTAAGGTACTCACCATGCGTATTGAATAATAAGAACACCACCGCGAAAAACCAGATCGTTGGACTGTTCACATTAATTTAAACCCGTTAGTCAATAGACTGACAAGCCACAGAGAGAGAGAGAGAGAGAGAGAAACGACCTTATACCAACAACCACCTTGAAATCCTCTTCAAGTGATCGGTTGATGTACTTCTGGAAGTTAAATTGAGCATGAGTTTGAGGTGACAAATGTGCCTGAGGTCAAAGAATAAGAGATTGTTTAATGAATATTTGTGCCCGGCCGCATTGCCTTAATGGATACCATTCACAAGCTAGTTTAACAAGTTAACAACTCCAAGCAGGTTGATCATGATGAAATTAATCCAACTTAATTACCATGATGAACCCATGTCGCAGTGTCAGGTAATCAACCTTCGGAACCGATCTAACAAATTGTCTGAAAAAACAAATCTGAAAATAACAATGGAGAGAAGCCATTAATATATATATATATATATATTATGAATAAATTGATTTCTGCTGAATTTATTTTTTATTTCCATTTTATTGGGTATAAGAACAAAGGATGCTGGGGCTCTCTCTCTCTGTGTTGTGTGTGTGTTTGTGGCTCAAAGTATGATATTTGACGGTATAACTTTGGTTCAATTGTTTCCATTACATGAATGGTCCAGACTCCTAGAGAGTTCCGTGCCCACCCAACAACAAACAAAATATTCAAATGGTCAAATTGCTTGTCCACCACCGGGAGGAAAGAAAATGGTTAACAACAGGTACTAGATTATTATATTTTGAGAGTTTGAGTATTGAATTATCGTATTTTAAAGTTTGGGGACCAAAATAACACTAGGCCCAAAGTATAGGATACTAATCGAGAATTTTCCCTTTATTTTAAATACAGACTTTTATAACATTAGACACATGGTGGCCACACTCTCAACCTTAATCTAATCCAAAGTTAAAGTCTAATTCAGTTGCAATTCTTGACCCGTAAGCTAGCCTTATAATGTTGATTAACAGCAAATGAATATGAGAAAAAAAGGGATAGGTGGTTGTATTTTAATTCTTACGATCCAGAGGAGAACAGGAGTCTTGCTCCAGAAATTCAAGTGCCTTCGACCGAAGGACGTGTCCCTTGCGAATCTGAACCTCTCCGGATCTGTATCCACATTCATTTGAATTTATCAAATAACAGTACTAATATCTAATTCACCGGAAGTTGACATTTTTGTATGGACTCATCGACATTAATAGATTTAGAGAGAGAGAGAGAAATACGTACCATGGGTGAACTGGTATTCCACCGTTCTTGTTTCTTTCTCCCACGCCTTCCATCTTCTCATCTGAACGGTCAAACAATCATTCAACACGTTGATCAACGTTTTTATTATTTTATTCATAAGTCTATTTTCTTGTTTAATTATTTGGGTGGAGAGAGAGAGAAAGAGACCTTAGCTCTACCCAGAACCATGGTGATGATGCAGTAGAGCACATGGAAAACAGCCAAAACAAAAATGAAGATGTGAAGCTGGTGAATTCCATCGGCCGACACAAATGGTACTTTGCCCTGCAAAACCAGAATTCCGAGCAAACATCAATAACCAATTCGTTAGCCATTCCATTTTTTATTAATTTATTACATTAGTTCAGGACTGATCCGTTGCAAGAAAATTGTGAATGAAGGAAAATATCCCAAAAAGTTAGGCTTATTGTATTATTTAAGTAATTTTGTGTTTGATGACGATTACTACATATTTGTTTGCATTATAAAAATTAAAGAACCAGAAAAACACAAAAACAAAGAAGTATATATATGATAATGGGTCTTACCTTTTCTGCACATTTGTCGGTTCCTCCTCCGGCTAAGACACGACGGACACTTCCAACAGAATCTGGTATCGCTAGAAGTCTCCGGCGGTGCTCTTCCGAACTCTCTTCTTCCTTGGCTTCCTCTTGCTTCTTACTACATGGATGCCAAGTTCTTCCTACCTTCTCTGGTATACAAATCTCAGAGATGATTCCTTGTCCTACCGTAAGCAGCAAGGATATGAACCCCAGCAGCATAAGCTCTTCAAAACCCAAATTGAAACCAAATAAACTCGTTAAGCTGGCTCACGTATTCAATCAAATAAACCATCATATATAAACTTAAGATCTAACCTATATATGTTCATAATCACAAAGTGAGAAAATTTCATACCAGATTTGATCTTTTCCAGCGCTTCGTATAGGGCTCGCTTGTGTTTAGCTGTTAACCACTGCAAAAGGTTCAAGAATAATTTAAATTGAGATTCTTAAAATTGAAACAGGGAGAAGAAAATTCAATCAAGTCTTGTTTTGTTTCGTTTTAAAGAGTTGGCCGGATTAACGGTGTCTTACTTTTCCAATGAGGTGAATGATATGCTCAATGATAACCGAAATGAGGACCAGCAAGAAACAGACAACGGCAACTGCCCATGTCGGCGTTTCCTCCAAAGAACGACCACCTCCTGCTCCGGCCATCCTTCGGGATTTTTTCTATTTAAACCTTTCCTTGCCACTCCGTCCACAGGTACTCAACTCAACTTTCCGTGGCAGTCTTGAAAGTAGCGGAACTAGGGCACTAGCACTGGTTCGACGACTAAATCCAGAGAGAAATGGTTGCAGAGTAAGCTCTGGGACTGACTGCATGCAGTGGCAGTTGGAACATAAAAGAGGGGGAGGAAGGTGTTTCTGTACTAGTAAGAAGGAGGTTAATGGCGGTAGACGAAAACTCTGAGTCTGTAACTGTTTATATACAAAAGGCTGAGTCGTATCATTTATGTGAGAGGAAGAGAATGGAGAGGAAGGCCAAATTTAAAAGTAGACGACCTTGACTTTTAAGCCGCGTTTGAGAATCGAATCGAGACTTGGCAGAGTAGACCAGATTGACAAATGACAAGATGCGGGCGATGCCTTGAACGCGAGGGATCCCGGATCCCGATTGATGACTGACCTGATCAAAGAAGTGATGATCCTTGGATTTGGATATAACACGTGTGGGCCTGGCCTTTGTAACTTGTCAATAATTAGGTAGGTTTTCACCACCAATCATTTCTTCTTCAGGTCCACCCCTTCCAAAATTCAATATTAACAGGAAGAAGAATCAAGTAATCAAAAGAAGATCAAGTTTTGTAACCATCATATCTGCCATGGGAATGGGATGTATGATGTGCGGACACAGATCATGTTCGGCTTATTTATTTATTTTTTTTTTCTGAGCAGATTCGGCAGGACTGCAGGACTTCTATTTTCTAATTAAAATAAATGGTAAAAATATTAAAAATGAAATGAACAAATAATGGTTTTAAATTATCTATTAAACTTAGCTATTTTACATTAGAAAATTTATGACAACAAATATCGGACAGAGGTTATGAGTTGTATAACACCTATAAACATCAGAATCTGAGATAAGTTTGACCAAATCAAATACATTTTAGAGAAACAATCAACCGGAGAACCCTTTTGACTGCAAGCTCCCAATTCTATGTTGGAATTATATTGCATGATTTGCGTGCAAAATCCCTTTCGGATACCTCCTTTTATCACCTAAATTTCTACTACTTCTAATAATCATTATCTGTTTTTTTTTTTTTTTTTTTTCTGTCGGCGTCATTTCTCTGTTAAAATCAATCTTATAAAGGTATTTAATGTAAGTATTTTTTATATTGTTTTCTTTTTATAAAATTAATAATTCAACTATTTTGTCAAAAACATTTTAATGACGAGATATGTTTTTCATGGAAATTTTATGGATTTTTCCTTTCATAAATTTTTATTGGTTTTGTGATGTATTGTCCCAAATCCCATCTATGTTATAATACCTCCTTTGAATTTTGATAAATTCTTTCACATGTCACTGGTCTTAATTGTACAATTCTATAAAATTTTATGAAATGAAGAAATCTATAAAAGTCCATATCCATGTCCAAAATTTCAAATTCTCTTTTTTCTATAGTACAAATTCATAGTCTGTGTTCAGTTGCAGTATAAATTTCATTTGCACTGGTGTAAATGCCTAGGAGTGCAAATAAGAGGAAGGTAAATGCCTAGGAGTGCATATCCATGCAGTATAAACTTATCATGGGATAAGTTTGGATGCAAGAAGACATTGCCCCGACCTTGTATTAGAAACCGTTCAAATAAGAGGAAGGTGATGCAAAATTGGTATCAATTTTTGGGATGTAAAATTTGTGCTATTACTATATGGACATACACACACACACAAAAAAAAAAATAATAATAATAAATTGTATCACATAGAAATGCAAAGCATAATTACAGACAAATAAAAGCAAAATTAAATGGGATAAAAATTTTGAACGAAGTCAAGATTTTAAGTGCAACCAAATGCAACCTAAGAACAAAAATACAAAATTCCCCGTGAGAACGATCAAACGTGAGAAAGAAAAAAAAAAAAAAAAAACATTAATAAGCATAATAGGAGCCTGGATGCAACAAGGTACACTTATCTAAGGAGGTTGACCTTCATTGCTTAACATTAATTCCCCGTGAGAACGATCAAACGTGAGAAAGAAAAAAAAAAAAAAAAAACATTAATAAGCATAAAAGGAGCCTGGATGCAACATGGTACACTTATCTAAGGAGGTTGACCTTCATTGCTTAACATTAATAAGCATATATATATATTTTAATAGGAGCCAGAATATTTTGATAGTTTTCTGCATCTACAACTGATTTTTTTATCGAGCTTTACCTTTATCGTTTATTAAAATAAAGGAAGGAAAAAAAAAAAAAGAGTTGAAGCCTCATAAGCCGGGTTCAGGTTTGATTTGACTCATTGAAACATAATTTGTTGAAGACTTAATTATTAAGATAGAATAGCTTAGTTTGTGAGGATATTGAAATGGCTCTACCCGTTTCAACGGAAGCCTTTGAATCCCGATGGGTTGTCCTGGTCAGTTCCGGTGGATGATTGGAGTTTAGACCCAACTCATGGCTATGAGCAAATTTTCGGTGGTCAGGGTTTTGATGCGGCCTGTGGGTATAGCGAAAGGTAGACCACAGAAATGAGTCGTTTATGACCGGCTCGACCCAATCCTCTGATTTGTGACTGCTACGCGTTTTGACTTTTCCGCCCTCGGTTTATTTGCCCTTTCCTTTATTAATTCTTTGGAATGGTAGTATGTTACATGGAGAGGATGTGGTCCTTTTTTTTCGGGAGGGGTAGCTTTGGTCTTTATTTGATCAATTGATAGAAAACATCGATCAGTGAGTGCCGTCTGATGTCTGAATGTACCTACCACATATTTGGAGATATTGTGGGACCCACCATTTACAAAATGAAAGAAATTGTGCCTATTCCATCCCAAGCAATTATAAAAACCAGATTATTTGTCGGGTCATGGATCATATAAATAAACATAAAATATATTTTGTAAATTTTATCATTTGTCAATGTTCGTGGCGACTGGCGAGAGTCGAAATGGTTAATTTCTTGATTTTAATACAATGATCGATTAGGTTTTAAGTCTAATGGTTATATATATGTGATGATGCGCAATTTGGTCGCTTGATGTTAGGTAGTTCCGATGTCAAATTACTATCTAATCGGGTTGAACCCTAAGACAAGAAAATCAAAGCTTTTAGTGTGGACATTTTGATGCTTAAGTTAGTAAAGGAAATTTTAGAGAGCTGATTGTTTGAGAGTAATAGTATGGGAGAGCTAAATTGCACGTATTTTGAGACTAGAGGTAAAACCCTTATATAGGTGAGTTGTCGTAGGCCTCATGATGTGTGTCCGATATCACCGGCCCGCCTAACTCGGAGTTAGTCCCGCACCTAAAGATGAACTCCAAGTAAGTTAATAAGGCTTAGCCAGGTCCATCCGGTTCAGGTGGGATGAAAATAAGATCCGTTGGCATGCGGATTGATCCCAAGGAAATCAGAGACGGTTGGCTCGTTTCTAGGAGGTTATGTGGCACCTCGATAGGTCGGTGAGTGTGGCGAGCTACTTGGGCCCCGGTGTATTGGCTGAGTGACCCAAGGTGACTAGGACTGCTGAGATATTCGGGAATGTTAAAGTGTCGCTAAGTCAATGGGTGTCGCTCCGTGTATGATCATGTCATTGCTCGGGCCAAATTACCCCTCACAATATGTATGCATAAAATTTATAAATCTATAAAAGGTCCAACCTGTCTTACAACATTTCAATAGGTTGTATTAGTTCGAAGTGTTACAAAGCCATGCCATGTCACCATTCCCTACAGGGAAGTTGCTGAGAGGCTAGTCCGGTCAACTAGGTTTCTAAATAATGACGTGGCTAATCCAAATGTAGGGGAAACAGATGGGTTAGTGACGTGTCAAATACAATTGACTTGGGAGTTTTTATATTTCCCACTGTGATATCAACCATCGAGTATACGAGGTAGGGGTGCACGTCGGGTACCCGATTCTAAGAGTTTGCATTGCATTGGGTTTGGGCCCATTCAAAATTTGACAAAATCCCACCCCAAATCTGTCCAAGTTGCACCCCTAATAGCGCGCCTGTTTACCTAATAATAGGGGTGATCACGGACTGATCCAGACTGGGCATTGGGCTAGAGCAACAAAAATATAAACATCATGAAAATGTTGAAGTGCATGGTTGGATGCTTTCATCAAACCATGGTAGGAGTAAAACCCCTCATGAAAATCATGAGGTGCATCGAGGTCCTCTCATCTCCATGCTATCACAACCTCAGTTTCTCATATTCTCACACATGTGGATATTTATTTATAAGTTAAATTATTAAAATTATAAAAGGTGACAATGGAAATTCCTGTTAAGACTCAATTTTCTCTCTCTCTCTTGCTAATAGTTAATATTTGTAATACCTACCCTCTCTTATTAAATCTTGTATTTCTTTATAGGGCCTGTTTGGTTTGTAGTCAGAATTGGAATAGTACCTCTTGCCCATTTGGTTCAAATGGGATCAAAATTAAAATTATAATTAACTGACCAATAAATTAAGGTGTTATTTATCAATTTAAATTCATGGGTGGGTTTTGATTGGTCAAAACTCTTTCTATGCCATATCCTTTCCGCATGATAGATTTTTCCTAAATTGTTATGTATCAACAGTATTTAAGCCCATTTTTGGGTTTAAAATCTTTCCTCCGGTTTCCAATGCGTTGAAATTACACTACCTATTTTCAGGAAACCGGATTCCGCCGGTTGAAAGCCCATTCGAACAGCCATCATAGCCTTGCATTGAAAATATCTCCCCATGCATAGAAGTATGGAGATATTCCCAATGTAAGGCTTTAAACTGAGTGAAGCCGATCACTGTTTTCAGAAGTTAAAAAGCACGAGATTTCAATTGCTTTGCAACGAGAAACGGATTCAGATTGACTGACGAAACTCTAGAACTAACTACTGAGTCTTACTGTAATATAATAAAAATCGTTTTCTTTTTATTGCCATGGAAATGTGGAATGAAATGACCGTCACTTTGAATTAAATTTGCCACTATATTTTATTTGGGGCCCATGTTAGAGAAGGGTAGCTGATTTGGACTCTTTTCATTTTTCACCAAACATGGAATTATAGAGGCCGTCCCAAATGGGCACTTAGAGACAACATATACGCTACAACAAATAATTTACTCGTTAGCCGTGTTACCTCAACGAATAAAGTGGTAAGCGAATATCATTTCACACGATGCATCTTAACTTGATATTGAGATGATGGAAGAGGGTTTGGATATATTTTGGCAGTGGTATTTTATATAATATTTATTATAAATAAATGTTTTGGAAATTGGAATACAATAAAAACGGGGTATATTGAGTTTTGAGACAGCGATAGAATCGACGACCCCCGGTCCCCAGCAATGCCGGTTTCAATAGCGGGATTTTTCAGTGCTTTGGCCAGGTCAAGCTGGGTGGGCTGATGGGGTTCCTTTCCATTTTCATTCCATTGGGATGGGATCATGGGACATCAGGAAAAGCAAGTCAGTCAGGATTCGGCATTCATGACGTGTACTTGTCACCTAAAAGATGGCCTGGCCGATATCTGAATCTGAGCTTTATATACATACATTGTATTTGTAGTCTGTTATCTGTATCCCTCAAACTCAAATCCATGTCAACTGTATAAGCCCATCTTGTATTGGGCTTATAGAGGTTTTTGAATTTAATTTGGTTGTGTGAATTGGGTGATAACCGAAGAGTCCACCATGGGCTGTTTTGGGCTCCAAACCATTTACATCATTAATGTTTTGTACACACTTCCTGAATCATGTAAACGTCTTTCTTGAACGAATTGACGAACAAACACATTTGCTGTGAGTCTGTGACCCCATTTATACTTACGTGACTTCATCAAATTCAAGTTGAGGACCACGTAAATACGTGGAGGGCTGTGAAGCTGATATTTGAACATTGTAGTTGCCAAGTTGGAGATGTAATCATCAATGACCACGGGTAGAAATTAGTATGAGGTGGACCTTATTCTCTCGTGTTATGGCCGGGGAAAGGGACCAAAACTGAAAAACCGAGGGGTTGCGTCATTGCGTGAACATACAGAAGGGAAAACCACCATGACTTAAAACACTCTTCTCTTCTGCATTAAAATCCCATATACATGATTTAATTTAAACACAAATTTTACACGCACCCGCAGAGAGACTGGAGTATTTGAATAAAAATTTTCTTCGTCAATAGTATTCCTCCAACGTAATCTTGAGCTATTAACGGTTTCGTCTGTCTCAATCAATTCACCAGCGGCAGCTAGCCGGCCATGGAATTTACGGATAAATCATTTACGTAAGATTTGCAGAAATTTTCTCGACAGTACTACTTAGGACATGGCCGGGAAATTAAAACGTTGGGAGAGAGGATAGGTGGATGCGACTTGTCAACTACCTCGATGATCAAATTTGTTGAAGTGACAGGTAACAGTTTCAAAAAACCCATTAATTGTCTCTGAGCCTTTCGGAATCATACCGTGCAATCGTAGATTTCATCCTCATCCGGCCCGAATCGAATGGACATGATGAGCCTCATCAGCCAATACTTCATCCCCCTCCCAGAGTGGACCAGACTCCTATTGCTCGAGCGAGAAATCTCAAAAAGATTTCGTAAGACATTCAACTATAAAGCATCAGCCCCTGATATCAGTTACGTGCGATTAACTAAATTTGAGTTTTAATTTGGGGCTCTGAAACTGTAACTACTGGTGTTAATTTTATGCAGACATCGTTTCTAGTTTTCTTCCAAAGAAATCGAAATTTTCTTCGTCAGGAGGGGACGGTGAACGGATGAAGAAGGAAGGGTCTATGATAACTAGAAACTTCTTTCAAAAGACGACACCATTACGTACGTGGAAGTTGTATATTCCAGTTTAAGCGCCACGTACGAATCTGATCACCATTTCTTTGTCGTCGAGGACTTTAAAGTGCATGAGGGAGGTTTTACCTGAATTCCAGCCTTCCAGGTATATGACGATTGACGTCTAACCTCTCCCTCAATCATCATTGTCTAATCACACTAGTTTATATATGAGGAAGATAATATATAATATAAAATAAAATACTTAATTATTTTAATCCATCTATTATTCTCAACAGACAACAGGGATAATAATAACTACTCAACCCACAGCCGTAAAACTCTTGAGAGAATATATATACTATTTTGTGAATCAGAATCAATAAAAACCCTTTTTTTAGAAAAATGTAAATACTAACTTAACCCTAGTTATTGATCTTCCAATCTAATCCTAATCCAATCCATTTTTTTTTTCTCAAACCGGGTTTGAATCGAAACAACAACAACAGATGACGCACTTTATCCCAACTCCAGCCAGGTTTTATCGTATACATCAATTATCATTCCATATATGTATAATTATATGCATACAATATATATAAAATACATATATATATATATATATATATATATAATATCTTTATATCAAATTTTAGTATGGACTGATTGATCAATTCAAATCCAACCTCAACCTAACCTTGTGTATTCACTGTAGACTAAGCCCAAATTTACCTTGGGTTTGGTTCATATTCATGCCTTTATGCCCAAATTTTAAGGTTAAACATAAGTTGAGTTTAAAACCGGTCCATCCCGCCTGACACGAACCCCTACCAAGTCATATGGATTTTAGGAATACTGTACTTGTAAAACATGAAACATTTTGTTTTGAGACTTAAAATTATTAATACAAATGCGTGCATATATATATATATAAATTCGAGTTGGGTTGGGCTGTCCAACGTCTTAACCTTAACTCAACCCAAAGTCAAATCCAGTCAATCCTGACACTAACCCGATTGAACCTGACAGTAGAGAATCGAAAATAACTGCTCAAAAGTCCATCTAGGTAACATAGGACAGCTCCCACGGGAAGTCTGAAGATATGCAGAAGTCTCATTGATGCCCCAGACTAGAAATCCAGTCAGCTAGCTGTTTGGTTCCTCTTTCTCCACGTGTGGCTATTTCGAACATGAATTTGATGAGTTATCTGGCTGTCTCCATGGTGATATGGCAATCTTTAACTAGAACTTTTGACATCTGGGGAAGTTGGGGTAGCAATCATCTCTAGGTTGTCAACTGCGATCTTGGAATCACTTTCCATGCATCCAAAGTCAAAAGTCCAAACTATTCTGTATCCCTTCTGCGCTGCAATCTCATGGGCTTTTCTTTTCTGGCAGCCCATATTTCAGATTGACCCACGCTTGCATGAATGATACAAGAGTTCATCTGGGTTTTTTATGTTGAAGGAGTATTAGGAGAAAATATCAGCTGGTGCCTGGTGGAAGACAACCATCTTATCACGTAGTCAAGAATCTCTCAAGCACGGTATCGTAAATTTGTTATATATCTATGGTTGAAAGTTATTTCATTATACCACTGGGATATTCAAAAAACGGATTCGGTGCTTTTTATATCTACATAAAAATTAATATGAATGTAATAGTTAAGTTGGTTTCGATGTTATCTATATATACATATATACATTAGTTTACTAATAATATACAATATGTATCTGAGTCCTAATTAGAGTCCAATGATCTGAATGCAGCAGATGAAAATAAGCACAGTGTGATCAGACCAACATGCATTCATGACAAGGACACGGGACACCTACCGCTTGCTGCTTGCAAATGAAATATATTTTGGTCTTATTATTATTCATCCTTAATCTGGGCGAAGGATCCGAGACCCATGTCAGACCGTTGAAGGTTCTTCCTTTAAAATCTCTCTCTCTCTCTCTCAATCTATCTATATATAAATATAAATATATATATTATATTATATATATAGGACCCAAGCTCGAATCAATTGACAACATATAATAGGGGCGATGAGGATCGAACAATATTCGAGTCAGGTCCCTGAATGTGTTTTATTTAGTTTTGCTTTCCACTTATTTCAACATCATAATTCCAAATTGGATGAATCATGCATGTGCAATAAGTTATTTCATGTACAAATTATATTTCAAAGCATAACCCGTGAAAAAAATAAAAGAAAAAAAGTGAGCTATCGCTCTAAGTTCTAAAATTCAAGTGATCATGTTATACCTCAATAAGAACCTTCTATATATATATATATATATATATATATATATATATATATATTAATTGCGACTTGGCGTGCTCTAAGCTGATAATATGTGAGAATTTGAATAATCAAAATAATTTATGTATATCCTTAACGGCTAAGAATATATAAGGAAACTTTTTCTAACCAAGTGGGAAGCGTGGATTGTGGCAATCCACACTGTAGTACTGGTACATTCTCTGCTTTGTTTTAAAGCATCCACCAATTTCATAAAGGTAGATAAAGATAAAGCAAGTTAAAGAATCTTGAAATAAAGCTAATTGCCTAGGAAAAAGAAGAGATAAAGTTAATTAAACCCTTTATTTACAAAAGAGAGAGAAAAAAAAAATCTCTTCAAAACAAAAAACTAAAGAGTTAAAAAAGATGGCCCAACATCTAGACTATCAAGACTAGAAGCAGCAAGGATGCAGAAGTGAAAGACACAGAGAACTAGACCTAATAAAGCTGCTCTCTTCTGTCACGCAACCATCTCCACCTGAAAAAAAGAATAAACCAGAGGCATCTCTCAGTCTCGGCACTAAAAAGATCGAAACAACATAGAATTAATGCAGAGCTGAAAAAAGATGTTTCAACTTTGTGTTTCAAGTAATTAAGGCGATGGCTGAGAGAAGGAATTAGAATTAGGTGGCACGCACGGCAGTCCACTTACCAGTAAAAGTCCCATCTTGGTCGGACTTTGCTCATCCGATTCTCTCCGTAGGGATAGTCAGTTTCGGATCTTCTGCTGTTGCGGAACGCGCAGCATCCGATGGAATAGATACAGATGAGCAAGACAAGCATTACGACATTAAGAACCGACAGTTTATGCCAGTCTCTCCTCACTTCTTCCATAACCCCAGCCTTGCATGAGTCGCATTCATAGCAGAGCAAAGTCGCCACATTATTCCATCGATAGCAGTCTGGGTCTTGAGCCAACATGGTAGCTGTGCCATAGTTGCATGACGTCGGGGGCTTGCAGCAGCCAGACTGAATCCAAAATCACAAATAAAACCTGCTTAATTTTGGTGAATCTCTGCTTATTGGGCAGTAGTAGTTGGGCACAGTTCATTCATGTAAAAAAAAACTAAACAATGGGAGTATTTAAATCATCTTCCTTATTCCTTAGAGTTATTTGCAATTGAAGAACAAGCAAAAAGATTCTAGGTAACTTTACTATCTTTTTTTTTTTTTTCTCTCTTAGAGACTAGAGAGGAAGTATTAATTCAAGAAAAGAATAAAAAAGGGAACCCCTTTACTTGATTAATTCTCAGCTCAACTGGGATTTTTTGCGACTAATAAATTGTCAACAAAAAAAAAGCAAAAAAGAGGAAAAAGAAAAAAGAAAGAAATAGCTAGGTGAAGCAGAAAACGTACAGCAGGAGAAGAGAAGATAGAAGGAGGAGAGAATCGATGAACCTGTATGGGAGAGAGGTCCCTCTCTAGATAATCAAGAGGCGTCCAAAAGGCGAGCTTGGAGCAGGTCTTGGAACCCAAGATACAAGTCCTGATGGTGGTCCAATAATGAAGATCCTTAACTCGGTTTCTCAACCAGGGTGAGTAGTCCTGGAGCCTATATTCTTTGTAAACCCGACCGGGCACCTGCACCCCTCCACCCTGGCTGGTGACGACGAAACCGAAGATGGTGAAGGAGAGTAAGGTGGCGATGAGAACCAGCATCACCACCAGGTACACCCACAGAGCCCAAGCCACGTTGAAGCAAGCCCCTATAAAGCCGGTCAGAGAGACGATGAGGACTACAAACCCGATAACCAGAAGCGGCGTCTGTAAGAACCCTTCGCAGCTGGTGCTATTTCTTGCCATCCACAGCCCTCCACCTATGATGGGTATGGAAGCCAAAAGCGTGAACAGGTTCAAGAAACCGATCACTGTATTACTGAACCGATACATCTCTTCCCTCTTTTTTTTGAGTTATGTCTTCCTCCTTACACTAACAACAAGTACTTATATTCTCTTCTTCGATCGCCTATCTATCCTTTTCATCTTAAAGGCTAAAGTTCTCCGGCTCTCTCTCTCTCTCTCTCTCTCTCTGAATGAAGGGCAGTGCTTGCTGCTGGCCTGCTGCTTCTTTTCCTTATTGAAGACCTCGCTCAATTATTCTAAATTGTATGGAACCTTTCTTTAGTCGACAGTCGCGACTGGCCGACTGCTGCTTTCCCTTCTTTCATTCATCCACATACATTTAATTTTATATGCCGAGAAGTGGGAATCATCAGTAATTTCATAAATTGCAATTTGCAACGTAGGAGATGACAGAATGGACTAACAAGAAAGATGCAATTACCAAATGGCCCTTCTCATCATTGTTCGGGACTTTGGGTTACGTTTGGCAGTAGTCACAAATTTGCTCTCTAGCTACTTTTATTGTTTGGGTAGGTTAGATCAGTGTTGTAATAAGACTCAGATCGGAGTACCGGACCTGATGGTTGGACCGTAAAAACCAGGAACTGATGGCCTTTCTGAGTTTCGGTTAATATGATGGTTTTCACGATCGAGTTAAATGGATTAACCAGAAAAACCATGATCGATGGGGAATTCCAATTTGTAACCCAGTTCAACATTGGGTTAGATACAGGAAAAGCAACTGTTTTAACGTTTAGCTTTAAGTGGATACGGGCTTAAAGATCCTTGAGTTATAACTGGTCTAGACCACAGAAGGCTTAAAAGGGTGGGATTCAGTTGGAGTTCCAGATGCAGATGGGGGTTTTGGATAAGAATTTAAACCCGAGTTGGTCAGTGGATGAAATTGAAGCATAGTTGAGACTCGGGACAACTACACTAGGTATCAAATCAGCGGCGTCGTTCATAAATGAAGTTTGGAGTAGGACGTATGTGTAAGAATTAGAATGAGTGGTTGAATTGGTACATCATGAAGAATTAGAATTAGAATATGTGGACCTTTAATATTTTTTTCCCCAATAGAATGGATTTGCATCTGTTAGGTTAACAACCCTGGAAACCCGTAAAAGAAGTGAGAATGGTGGGTACTCGGTGTGAAACAAAAGCAAGTTGCTTCTGGGGCTTCTGATTCGGTAGAGACTAGAGAGATATGTTATTTTCTTGGTGGGGAAGTATAAAGGAGGAGATTTTTTTTTCTTATCTCAAATTAATCTAACCTCTTTTAATTTCTTCAAAGTTGATAGCTTTGTTCAAGCTCGTGGTTTAATGTTGCAGCCTTGCAGGCGGATCCACTGAATTGTTTATTGAGCTCTTCCGGTATTATTCCTTTTCTGGCATCATAGATATTGCCTTTTCCATCATCCATCCTCTTTTATTTATCGCTTCTTCCCTTTTAACCCGTGTGTGTATTATTATAAACTATATATGTAAAATAAATGGTAAATTACATATAGGTACATGTACTTTCCGGTAGTCACAAATAGATATCTTGAACTTTCAATTGCAACACTTGAATATTTTAAACTCTCAAAAATAGATATTTGAGACCATCTATTAGTGTGAGTGTGGTGGTAAGGTTATGTACACGATCTCCTTGAAGGATGAAGGAAGGCTAAAGACTCCAATTGATAGAATGATGTCCTCATTATGAATTAGACCTTTATTTATAGGGAGAGATCTCAAGGTCCCGAAAGCAAAGAGCTAAAAAGGGTTTGACTCCCACTAGGAAAGGGAATATTTAATTCAGTGTCAGTTATCAAGGAATACCGTTAGTGTTTCTCCATGTGTCTTATGAGATATTTCAATGACAATGTTTCCTTTATTCTAATGATTTTCATAATATACATATGCTATTTTCTTTTGCGAGTCTCCTAGACTGACGTGGCACGAATGACATCAATACTAATCTCATGTGTCTTTTTAATCTTACTAGGCATTCTATCACACACGACATTGGTGAATCATATGTTTCTTTGCTCATCTTCGACCTATAGTGAACGTGAACTTATCACAGTTTTGCAATGGCTTTGAACTCATTGCTAGGGATCGCAATTTTCTCCATTTTTCCAATCCCTGTGGGGATCCGGTATGAATCGGGTGAGGATGGGGATGACTTTCCCCCTCCAGGGACGAGGATGGGGAAATTTTCATCCCCGTTAGCAGGGATGAGGCCAGGACGGGGAGAGCACTCCCCGCCCCGCGAGGATCCCAATCCCCACCCCATGGGATTCCCACTAATATATGTTTAAAATATAGAACCCGTTTTATTAACAATATTTTATTGCAAAAATTACTCATATGCAAAAATTACTAAATAATAATGAAAAAATACCAACAATTAATTAAAAATCTGAAAAATTCTGAAAAACCTAAACGTAATTTAAATATTGAAAGTAATTAAAAAAATATTGAAAGTTAACAGTATTTTATGTTAATAAGGGTATTTATTAAAAATAATTAAAAAGTACAATTAATAGGATTTTATTATTAAAAAATACCAAAATGTATTAAAAAAAACTAACCAAGTGATTATTTTAAACAACATTGCATTCTTTCCTTAGTTATAAGTATTGTTTATTTTACTTTCGTTGATAAATCTAGGAATGGCAACGGGGCGAGGATCATATTCCCCGTCCCCAACTCTGTTTATGAAATTAACCTCCGTCCTCGTCCCCGATCCTCGTTGGGGGTAAAATTTGTCCTCCATCCCCGATCCCCGAATTTTTTTAGATAACAATACTTATTTGAAAAATAAATTTACTTAAAATAAATAAAAAAATTTAATTATAAATATTTTTTTAAATATATTTAGGTATATATATATATATATATATATATATATATATATATATATATACATAGACCGAACCGGGGACCTCAATCCCCATCCTCGACCCTATGGGATTGGGGAAGTTGGGTACCATTGGAGACCGAACCGGTCAGGGGTCCGGTTCTCAGACCCAAACGATCGACCCATTCTGACAAAAATATTAATAAAAACAAAAAAATGGTCAAAACCGTTTGAACGGTTTGAACCATTAACCGCACGGGTCAGCAGTTTGCTGACCAAAATCAACGGTTTTGGGCAAATCCAAACTGGTCACCTAACCGGTTCCCGGTTTTTCGGTCTGGTTTTGAAAACCATGGTATTTAGGGTACTGTGGGCAGAATAAATTGAAAAGAGAAAAAAACATAACTTGGGGCATTCCGAGAATTGAACTCGGGACCTCTCGCACCCTAAGCGAGAATCATACCACTAGACCAAATGCCCGTTTTGCTAAATTGGCTTTTGTTATTGTTTTAATAGATAATTCATCACAAAGCAATATTATTCCTAATTCTTATTTTCTGGAGGGCGAAGTACTGAAGTATAGGCTATTCGACCCTTTGTTTGGTCGTGACGTGATTGCCACACAAGGCACCAATGGATGCTAGCAATTTCTCAATCAACGTCTCGGTTTACAAGATACAGAGTTTATAACATTATGGATGAGAATCATGGGGTGATGGGATAAGGAATAAAACATTTACAATTGCGTTACTTTCTTTCCTACATCATCCTTCTCGGTTTAGGGATTTTTGGTGCATTTTGTTTTCGGATGATTTTTCAGGAACCTGAAAATAAGAAAGAAACAGAAAGTTGAGGGGGAGTTCTAAAGGATTTAAGGTCTGTTTCTCTCTTATTTTTCATCAAACCCTTTAAGGTCCGCAGCACTCGGCACAATTGAACAAATGGGGTTTGGGGGGAAGGTGGGGAGCTCTGATTTTTTATTTTTTTCCATAGTCATGGGGATCCTTGAGTTGGTGGTTCTGCACTTTCATCTCACGGAGATGCTTTCTTGTATAAATATTCAACATCAAAATGAAATTAAGCAATATGCATTTCAATGAAGCACAGGCCTTGTAAAGAATCAATTTCATTAATATGTAGTATGACATTAACTAACCTCCAATGCTTCTCAAGGTTGTGCCTTCTAATAATTTCTAATCATGGCAAAGCCTTGAGCAGTTCAAAATTTGTTCACAGTGGACTATATTGGCTGAAAATTTTACATATGTATAGAATCATTAAACTACAAAGATAGTGGAAACCATGTGATTAAAGGAGATTAGAATCCTTGCATGAACGTAATGCTATCACCATGCATGAACTGGGTGTGCAGGTCCTTCATATCCTTTTATTTCTTTCTTCTGGAGCCCCCACTCGTTAACTCTTCTATAAATCAATCTTCCTTATTGTTGGGGGAACACATACCAATCAGATTGAATGCGTCAGCTAGGCATTGGCTTATTCTCTAAGAAAGATTTAAATAATATAAAAGCTTCTCGAGGACGATGAAGTGGAACCTCATGCCCAGCACCTGTTACTGTCACAAAGGTCAGGCCTTTGTACACTTGGCTCCACCCACCAACCTACATCACACAGGACAGATATATAAATACCATGACAAAAAAATGAAGGGGCTGTAAGATGGGTGTAATGTAGCATCCCATATAAAAATGGAGATCCTGAGATTGCAGATTACAAGACTAACCTTTCCATTGTCATACCAGGGATACCAATTGATAACTGTTGGTAGCTTTAGAGCATCAATAGAGTATCTAGTTGCAGTCACAGGCACCACTGCATCGGTGTCTCCACTGCAGGATGTGTATAATCACGAGCCACAATCAGATACAGGAAGCATAAGAAATCCAAGAAATAAGGCAGCTGAGAATCTCTCCTGATATACTAGCCAACTATAAGAATTCCATGTTTCTACATTGTTTTTTTAGGGTTTTGTCATTTGGGCTTCATGCCAAAACAAAGTGAATAATGGGGAAAATCTTGCACCATACTGTCCACAACATGAATGAGACTCAATGTCATCAAAATTAGTCTTAAAATGTTGCTAAAAACAAAATTTACCAAATATGGATTCAGTACCTGTAAAAGTATTATAATGTGAAAACAGTACTAAAAATAATGCCCATCAACAAAACGTCACTCAATCCATCAAAAAATGGCAGGTAAGAGGAAATCTTGAAAAAAAAAAAAGGAATTGAATCCTGAAACTGTCAAGTAATTGAGTGAAATTCTCTAAGAAATTGAATTCATGTGTTGCAGGGAAGTTTGAGCCGTGGAGCCAAAACCAATATTATAGTGATTAGACCAGATTATACTGATTCTTTTTTCAGGAATGAAGTTGAAAATTTCCCATTTGAGTTGGGGCTTGTTTTCTACAAGTTTCAAGCAATCCTCATCCATCCACTTCAATTTAAGGTTGTTGGTCCCTTGAGGGGAAGCATGGAGTTGCATTTAAAGACATTCTGAGCCTAAATCTGGAACATAAAATACAATCAACAATTCTTCTCATAAATCAAAGCACAAGGTGGATGATTTGGTTTAGAATTTTATTTACCCCCTCCCGAAAATCTTTGTGCATTAGAACTTCCGAAAAATCGATTGTCACATTAGTAAGGTAAACCCAACCTTAAATGTCTGATTTAACTCTAATGTATGCACTGCTGAATGTGCTAAACCTGTATATCTGCTCTATATTTGGTTGGAGTAGACATGCATATCTAACAGGATGTGGGTCTTGTGGCTCTTGGGAGAAGATTGTTTGGACCTATGTCAAATACAAAATAATGTGTATCACAGTTTACCTTCTCTCCAGTGAAGTTCGTGCTTAAAGCAATGCATTTATCAATGCCAGTTGCTATAGTTCCAAATGGACAAGAACCCTATTGTTTTGCACTCACCAAGAAGTCACTTGTACACTATAGGCACCCTCATGATACATGAACCTCTCCACATAGATGGGTGAACAACCAACCAACCTGGATGTCATTATATTTGTCTTTTCCATCTCTACATTGTAATGGTAAATAACTAAAAGAAAGGAAGATGCAATGAAATAATGTAATAGAATTTGCTAATTCCTTACAAATAATCTTTTCTGCATATTAAGAAAATTAACATCATTTGATATAGTTTTCCGAGCATCAATTAGTGTAACACAGTTCATGCTAAAAGTTCTTACTCACCAATAAAATTATCAACCAGTCTCAACATCAACCAGTCTCAATTATCAACATCACCAATAAAATTCAGATGAGTTAGATGGAAAACTTACTCTTCTCCAACAGCATACATGGTATTTTTGCACAAAGAAAAAGAACAATTGTCTTTTCTGATGTGGCAGTTGTTTTTGTTTTATGAAACAAAATGATACATATTAGCCAACACCCTCAAAATTAAACAGGATAAGAAAGGTACAGTAACCAAGGAGATTGTGGTCCACACATCCACCCAAAACCTTTAAATCTTTTACCGGTTACCACATGTTTGGGAGTGTGTTAATATGCTCATTTATTTATGATGGGGTTTCTGCATTGAACTGGTAAAATGTGCAGAATGAATTTTTCCTCCCCTTCCTGCATGCTGGTGAAATTTTCAGAGATGACAGAAATGAAAGAGAGAGAGAGAGATGATGTGTATTGAACATATTGGAGTTTTATCCAAAAATTTGACTGTGTGGCTAACCACTTCTGGGAAAACGAAGTTTGCCATTCTTCAGTAAGATTACTATCCTGAGTTAATACAGTCATCACCCCTTTTAGGGAAGGTGGCACCTTGTGGGAAAAAAAGGTGATGCGTGATCATTCTCCAAAGGTTGAACTTTGAACCACTGGAGATGAACTAATTTTACCTATTCAGATGATGGGAGACAATTTGGGCCCTACAATAGATTTAAGTATGATTTGTATAAACCACAAACAGTATACCTGCATAATTTGAAACAAAATAAAGGAAAGAAGCCAAGGTTTATTACTAAAAGTTATGCCAAGGTTAAGGTGTGTGAACTTCTGGCATATGAGAATGACATTGTCACATGGATCAAGTGTGAGCTATCAATATTTATCAAGCATAATCAAAGTATCAAGGAGACCGTGAATTGTTAGAACTACCATCTTTTTCTTTCCAATTAAAAAAAAATATCCGATTGATATCAAGTTACATTTTTTTTTGAAGTTCAAAAGTGGACCATGCAATGCATGATGTTTTAACAATGTTGATATGAGAAACAATGTCTATTCCAGTATTCATGTCTACACATATATAAACAGCTTGACTTTTCAGATTATTGGTATTTGTACCTATAAACCATTGAACTTGGTAAGGTAAGTATCAAATCACACCTCTTCTGTTTATCAGAATCATATATGATTCATGAAAACATAATATTTAAACATACCATGCTGCTTATTTCACAAGTGCCAGTCCAGATCTGGTAAGCACACTCAGTGAGCACTGAGCACACTGAGTAAGCACACAACAAGAGTGTGTCAAACCTGTCCCACTAGTGTGCCACCCAATCCACCTTTGTGATGACTTAAGCACACTTGCAGGGTTGGTGTCACACATTGATCATGTGCTTACTCAGTGTACTCACCAAGTGTGCCTACAAAATCTAGGCTCCACATGCACATCGACCAGCAGTTTTAGAAAAGCCACTATCTACACAAATATAGCTAACTCATATTCAGAGTTATAAAAATAAAGCAATTTTTTTAAACAAAAGTTACGCAATCAGGTGATGTAATGGGAAAATAAATAACACCTTATCAGTTACAAGATATCATTTAAAAAGTAATTGAAAAAAGGGGGTTAAAAAATGCACCTGAATACCCAAATTCGGAGGCCAGCTGCAATAAGCTCTTGATAAATAGGAAGCATTGATAATGGAGAATCTGCCCAATAGTCCCCAACAATGTCACTGCAACAAAGACTCAATCAACTGTTTTATCACAAACTATTTTGCAAAAAAAAAAAAAAAAAGTCCAGCCAACTTCTAAAATGAGACTGTACCTGCATGTTTTCCACGGATAGGAAATGCCAGTTACATTGGCATGGAGTGATTTTTGCACTTCTGGTTGATTAAAGTACATTGTAGAGTACCTTTCAGTGCAGGGATCATATGCTCTGGTCATCCAAGGCTGAGTTTGAACAAAACAGTGTTAATGTAACCACAAAACCACTAAGGAGTTTCTAACAGATGAAACCAAATAAAGAATTTTTAACTCCAATAGTGAAATATATATATATATATATATACATATATATATGATCATCCCCCCAAGAGGGAAAAATATTAATTATTGGCATGCAATTTAAAGGGAAAGGACAATCAATATGACCTTTGGCCACCTATATCCAAGTAAAAAATGGACAGGATAACTGCTTCAAACTCTGTTTCTTTACCACCACCTGAGGAGTTGAGTGGGATAAATTTATTGACAAAATAATTGGTTTAAACCTCCTGATCAAAGCCTAAACCAGTTTGTTGGTGTCTAGTCTTACACTACCAGGGAATATTTGTGGCAAAGTGTTACCATGGTTTGGGTGAGCTACAGGCATACTACTTTTTCTTGGAGATTGATAGTAGTCTCTCGACTCTCTCCCTATAAGCTATAGGGAAGGTGACATGCCATATCAGCAGCAAATCACTAAACAGAATCATTTGAAAGGAAGACTATCTATGTAGGTCAGGTCTGTCAAAATAAAGAAAGATGAGACGAAAGAAAATTTGCATTGCATGTCAACCCTTGCTTCTCTAAAGGTAGAAGTCAGGGGCACAAGGGGATGGGACTTGCACAAGTTACACTCAAGAAATTAAAGGGTTTAAAAAATTTGTGCTTGTCTGTAAGTTTAAAGGTCCTGTACGGATAATTGCAGGCTACACTAAGAAATGGTGGCCAGAAAATAAACTGTCCAAGGAGAACCATGAATTAAGATATTCCAGTGAGAGATGATGTTGGCACAGGATTACTTCGGTTATGAAGAAACCCATGTTACAGTAATGGCACAGAAAACAGCAACAATGTGTAGTTAAATGCAAGACATTCTTGGTTTAGATATCATAATGGTCATGAAGTAAATGCAGATAATGCTTAGACGAAGCCTTCCAGTAAATTACAGAAGTACGTGAGGGGGCTTACATAATGGCCCCTTAAGTTGTGCCTGAGAGATGCTGTGTTATTGCAAGGACGTGTAAATATGCTGTAAGGATCAATATCTCCGTCCTCTTTATCTGCAGCATCAAGAGCCTTGATGCATGCAACAGAAGGATGCTGTGATGATCCAAACTCACATGCAACTCTTAGATTTCGATAAGTAGCATCAGAAATCAAACCATGGGTCCACCAATACTCGAAAGTGCCCACATAATCGTGGTAATCATCAGTAACAGCATTTCCCACCTGAAAAGGCAGAAAGGAAACCAGCAAGCGCATAAATGTTTAACTGCAGTTAAGTACCAAAAGCCTAAGACATATCATGGAAAATTCTCACTGGCTTACCAAGAAACCTTTGAAATTAATAAAAGGATTCTGAATTCCCTTGTTTTTCTCGTAAACGAGTTTAGACAATTGAGGAACATAGTGACCTGAAACACGTAGAACAAAAGCAGCTCACTCTGCTACTCAAGGGATGAGTTTCAGGGACACCAAAACAAGAATTCATTAACTAATTAATCGATTTAAAAGGAGGTAAAAGATTTGAAATAATTATCAGACCTGCATAACTTTCTCCAGCAATGTAGAAGTCTCGGTGCTTATACTGGGGAAACCTTTCGATCCAATTGACAAGGAAAGCATATGCATCTTCAGCTGCAGATTCGACAAACAGAAATCCCAAAATTATCTAGAGATGCCCAAAAAGTAATTAATTTATCCTCCAAAATCCCAAAATTTGCAAAGGCCAATAACAGAAAAAGGTTCAAATCCAAACAGAAACAGAGAGAACAGAAAAGATATGCAGCACGAAGTAAAATGTATATTTATAAAGGTACCTGTTCTCTGGTCACCGGCAGTGTACAAGTCAGACGAAGTATTCGAATACGAGAAACCAACTCCTGCTGGAGATTCTAGGAAAAGCAGATTTGCCACTGTAAAAGAAAATTAAAGATAAAATAACTTGGATTAGAAAAGGCATCAAACGCGGCGGGAATGATCTCCCCGAAAGTTTTAACGAAAGAAGATGAGACAGTCTCAAATTTGACTTACAATTGTTCCAAGCGTAGGGGTTGAGGAAAAGGGTCTTTCCGTCTGAACGGATATGAAAAGGTCCGATCTCTTCGGCGGCTCCATAGGCCACCGATGAACACCCAGGCCCTCCATTGAGCCACAACACTAGTGGTCTCGACTCGGGCCGACGATTCGCCGGTGCCTCGACTAACCAGTAAAACAAGGCCCGGCCTGCCTGTTGATTAACTGTGACGTATCCTGAGTACTGAGAGAACCCAACATTGTTCGGCTGTCCCGGCAACTGGATGATCCTGTCTCTCTCTTGGTCTTGAAGTGGAGAAGAAAAACAAAAACAGGAATCCAGTAAAAGAAATGCAAAACCCAAAACGGGTAACAGAGAAAAATCCATAATCAATTAAACAATCGAAAGATAAGCAAAAGCCCAGAAACCCAGATCCCAAAACTTTTCTGTGTTTCTATAAATAACTTTTATTTACAGAGTCCAAGAAGATGGAACTTGCTGAAAGTAGTGCCTGTGTTTTCATCATAAATGAATGGAAGGGAAGAAAGAGAGGAATCAGACGGATGGGATGGGACTGGAGGATCAGTAAAGGACGGAAACTGAAGTTGCTGTTTGGTTGATATTTAACGCACATTAATCATACAGGGGCTGATACGCAGTCGGTGTGATGAGTTGTGATTGAGACCAGTAGCGCGAAGCATAATTCGTGTTCTTTTGCTGTGTGTTCCTCATTTTCTTATATTTATTAAAGTTTTTATCTGTTTTGGTAGTCGCTTTGAGATCGGCTTCAGTTCGAACAGAATTTACCACCTTACATTGGGAATATCTCCTACTTGACTGAATCCGGTTTCAGTCGGTTTAGAGAGAGAATTGACCAGGTGATATAAAAAGGAAGGAAGAAGCACATGGGGTTGGGGTTTCAATCGCCATTGATTGCGTTTATTGCAGTAAAAGATAAGCTGGAGCCTGGAGCATGCATATGCAAAGCAAAACACAAGCAAGCATTGCCTTTTTATTACAGCTTTCGGGGATTTTAATTTTTAAAAGAAGGAAGAAAATCGAGTTTTTAATTAGTCTTAACCGCTTAAAATCTTCATAATATCAAACTCAATTCAACTGAGATACCAAAAAAAGAATGCTTTTAAGTTTTAACTGGAGTACTACTTTCACAACAATGAACTCCCCTGTCTGGTACCACAGTTCCTACTCATCTGGTTTAACCCCACGGGTTGGACCGGGATTATTAAGATTTCTCTCTCCGTGGTAGAGCCGGTTTTGTGGTGGTGGACGAGTTCCGACTTCCGAGTTGGTTCATGGGGTGGGTCATGGTTGTCCCCTGCATGTCTCTCTCTCAGCTTTCACTTTTCCTTTCAAAAGAAAAAGCCTTTCTTTCCAATGGGAATATTCAATCCGGTCGTGTGGTAAGAGCTGAAGTGGCTCAACTCAATAACTATTATCACTTTGTCTTTTACTCAATATCACTTGTGACAAGTGACAACCCTCCATTTTTTACTTTTCCCAGTGCCGACATGCTACCAACAAAGCAGTCTGGATCAGGTAAGATGATCAAACATAAATTTTGACACCTGTCATTTAAAATACCCTTTATCATCATTTCAGCTAAAATATTAGGACCGAGCTTGGGCCTAATTTTTTAGCCCAATCCGCATATTTATAAATAATTTATATATCTTTATGTACATAGGTTATTTAAAAACATTTGATAATTGATGTTTTATATATTAAATAGAGATTTGTAGGATATTAAAGATTTTAATCCTATGGTCTTAGATCTTACCAACTTCTAATCTAGTATTTAATAAAATATAGAAATTATTAAATCCTAATCTTCTCGGCTCTCTCTCACCAATTTCACAAAACCACTGTGCTGTCCAATCTCTTTCTCTCTCTCTCTCTCTCTCTCTCTCAGACACACACACACACACCAAAAGATGGATCTTCTAGTGATGAAGATAAATCTGAAGTTTAGAGCAATTGCAAATTTTGAGCAAAATTGAAACCATTTTCAATATTTGATTACTTATTTATTTATATTAATTTGAACTATTTTTTCTTAGTTTGTTAATATCTTTTTTATTTCACTTTTTATTTGTAGGAGTTGAATGGAAGATGAAGCCCCTTATAGAGATGTTTAATGTTGTTTGTGGATGTTACATGACAATAGATGGTTATTTTTTTATAGATATTATAGGTTCTAGGTTGTTTTTTTGTTGATAGAAGAATTGGTTTGTTAAAATTATCATTTTGAGCATATTAATGACCAATTGAAACTTATAAATTACAAGGTATAATTATTTAATTTCTTTTATGTTAGTAGCTTTTATCTTGATATTAAGTTTAAAGTTTCTTACAAGTTACCATACTCTCCATGACAATAAGTGAAAAAAGAAAGTACAATTGTTTAATTTTGAAACTGAAATACAATAATTAGGCCTAGAATCTTGGCCTAGCCCGAGCCCATGTAGGGCTGGGTTGGGGCTAGGCTTATATTTTTAGGCCCATAATGCGGGTCGGGCTAGGCTTGGGCCTAGCCTAAGCCCATTGTTATTAAGGCAAAGCCCAACCCGGCCCATGATCACCCCTATCATCTTATCTTTTGAAAATTACTAATAGAATGGTTAAAACCAGTGAACGATTAACCAAAACTAGGTATAGAACTTACCAAGTTGGGTGTAGTCACTTGGGTGATTCTTGAGTGGTTGTGTTAACACCAATTTGTTTGATTATTGAAGTTTTGACCCAAAATAAAACTAAACTTCAATTTCTTTAATCCTAATTAAACAGGACTGATAAGATTAAGAAAACAAAACTGACTTAAAACATGATTAATGATTCCACTTGATATATTATAATGTAAATGTGCATATATAAAAAGTATGCAAAAAGTGTAAACGGGTACCATAATTGATGCATCTATATTTAGTTTGTGCCTGTAATTGTATATGCATGAGGAGGCAAATAAATTAACAAAGGCTTAACAAACTACCACGTGTAGTAAAGGATCATGCTTGCCATATCCATAGGTATTCCAATAAGAGCAATCCCTCCACAATAACTTGTATGAACCATGTGAATGTTCAACTTGTATCTGCAAAAGGAAATGGAAAACAAAACAATTATGTAATATGTTTCATTTAAATTAAAGAAACTTCAATGTATTTTTATATATCAAACAAAATCTTGAATGGAATTAATTTAAGTTGATACATAGTTCAATTAATGGAATTATGTTCAAAATAAAAAAATCAACGTGAGCATAAAAAACTATTAATTATTTCAATACTATCAATTGAAAAGAGAAAATTATTTAAGAAATCACCCGTTTACCAAGACAAAAAAAAAAAAAAAAACGATGGAAAGTAATCAATCAAAGAGCTTTCAACAATGTGTACCCTACCTACAGTTATCCCTAATGTGTAATACACTTGGGGTATAATAAAAAATTAATTATGATGAAAATTAATTAACGTAACGTAGAATAGAATTGTCAGATAGTCCATTTACGATTACGAACATAGGTTATGGATGTAATTGTCAAATAATTGCAAGTGAGGCCTTCTGTTTCTTTTTCTCCTTAAGCAATGGCCAACCCCACACTTAAAGGAAAAAACAAAAGGTCTCACATGCCATTCATTAATTCACCTCTCATTAAGTCACATGCCATTAAGTCAAAACAAAATTTGACTCCCGGAAGGTCCAAATAAGTGGTGAACTAGATTTAAGACATTTATCACCTCTTATTAACTTATCATTAATCCCTCTCCTCCTTTTCATTAATTCCTTTAATTATCTTTTTTCATTAATTATACCATTAATTCTCTCCTTCAATAGCTCATGCCATTAATTCTTTCTCTTCTTCATTATCACATTAAATTACCTAAATACAATAACTTTATCTATATTTATAATTCTATATCCAAATTTAACTATAATTTTATATACATTAAATATATTTATATTAAATTATAATTATCAATAAAAAAAAGTTATATTGGAATGGATATATTCAATGATATATTATTAGACTAAATAATCTAATTTTTATGCTAACTAACTAAGTAATTTATATTTCAGAATAAATATTATTTAATTCAGTTAACAAATAAAACCATTGTTTTGAAAAATCAACTTGGAGGCTGAATAGTTTTTGCCTCTAGGTCATGGGTCAATGGTTCAAATGTCCAGGTTGGACAAATCAAACTATGACACATCTTCCATCTTTATATATAATACGATATAATATAATTACATTTTTGTGTGTGTTTATATCATTTTAGGTTCAATTTGTACATTTTTATTTTAGTTTTATTTTTTATAAATATAAAAATATGAGTTGAAAATTGAAATTTGATATCACAAAATGAGTTATTTTTTGTATAGCGGGGATTGCAAAGATTATGAAAAGTAATCTTCTAGAAATTTTCAATACATTGTATATTGTAACCCATGACTCAATGACTAGACCAAAGGATCAATGGTTCAACCACCTAGGTGGAATGGTTTTTGACAAAATAATAGATTCTAGGAAACCCAAAATTAGAAAATAGGGTTGAGTGATGGTTCGAATAGTTTAACCGTTTGAGTCAACGAAGAATTGAATACATTGAATAAAAAATCATAAAAATTATAACCCATTTTATATTTTCATTTAAATCCTATTTAAAAATAGAGAAAATTATAAAAACCTCTTTGGGTTTTCTAACAATCCTATGAACATCCCCTATATATGTTATGACCTTTACAAAAACCTTTCATATTGCTTTGAAAAAAGGTACAGATATTTTCCTTTTGTTAGCATTCGTTCTTAAATACCAAATTTACCCTTAATCAACTTTATTCATAAATAAATACAAACCAAAAGATATGTTGGTAAACAAGTATTTTTAAATAGGAATAATACAAAAATAATTACAAATCATAAAAAAATAAAAAATGATACAAATTTATCTAGAGCATAATAAATTAGCCACTCTCACTAAAGTGAGACTTAAAATTTGTGCTAGACATAAATAACCCCCTAAAAAAAGCTTGAGCTAGACTTAAATTAACACCTTTAATTGGAAATGCCATAAGCTGCTTTTCTCGATTTTTCATTTCTTCTAAATAAAACCACGGGTCCCAAACCGTACAATCTAATTTAGTATTCTCCTAAACAAAATCCTCCAGTAGTCAATCTCTTCTCACAACGTTTCACTTCAAATTCTAATCAGCTTTGCTTAAAGCCTTAAAATACAGATCCCAATTACCTAAAAGTCAGATTATTGTCCAATTCTCAAGCGGTTAAGAGTGTCCACACTCCACAGGCTGGATATTGGGTTGGGGCATGATGTTTTTAATTTTATTAGTAGACCGACCCGAGCTGAGCCAAGTCAATTGACAGCTGGTTTAAATAGTCAATGGAAATCCGTCCTGGCGGGTAGGGCTATTTAARAAAAAAAAAAAAAAAAGAAATTATTAGAGTCGGAATCGGACTGCAATTTCCAACCTCATGGGCCAAGAAATAGAATTGATGTCGGAGACACACATGATCGACGCATTAATGTTTCGGCTGCAATCTTCAATTGGTGCATTAATTTGAACTTTGAAAACCAGCTGTCGATTCATTGGGTCTGCTTTCAAGCTGCACCTGCCGGCAGTCGATGGGCAGATCAATGTGACTTCATGCATGCATTTCTCTGTGATCAGCAAGTTAGTCCAGTCCATGTATTCACTCTGGTGCCAAACTAGTCTGGCCGGTCACAGTCTAGACCAATTCTACAGGCTATAGATGGAGTTAACAAGGCCAAAACAAATTGGCATGGGGTTTGGAGTTTTGTGGAAGCCCAACCAACAAGGCAATAATCATTCCACAAAGTTTTATTATTCCCTTTGGGTTTGGACCCATAAAAGTAAAACGCCAAAGGATTACGGATCCAGTGCTTAACATCTACCCATGCATCATATTAGTGATAACAATGTCACTTCAGGTTCAGAAGGAAATATGCCCTTACTATACTACTGTTGAATTGGAACTTCCACTCTCTAGATCGTGGGTCGAGTGAATTGAGTCTGAATATCTGAGGCCTCAGCACTGTGAGAGTCATCATGGCTCCTATATTCTGATACAAGGGTTTTTTGAGCAAATAAACTCCTACTCTAATACAATCCTAACCTTGCAATTGATTGTATTCTATTGGCCTCTTGATTAAAAAGCCTCAATCCAACAGTTCAGCATTAATTAAAAGAATGGCATTGCCCATTGGGAATTTTCATAGATAAATCTAACAATTTTAGTTTAATAATAATAATAATAATAATAAAAAGCCAGATTTGAGAAATTAGTTTGCCCATCCTGATTAATAATTTTATATTTATTGTCCCCTAAATCTTGTATTTTAATTTTGGCCCTAGTAAATACTATTTAATAGTATTTTAACTAATTATTCTCTTAATATTTTTATGTGTTATAAATTCACTCTTAAAATGTCTTAATTATAACATCATTTCCTTCTGACATTAGATAAACAAAATAAGCTGTGAGGCCCTTCATGTGCCTTTGATTGTGGGGAGCTTCACTAGCTAGTAAATAAACAGATGGGTAACAACTTTGTGAGAATGCGCTTTTTTACCATAAAAAAAAAAATGGTTTTATGCCCATAATCAATAGTGCTAATACATTCTAGAGAATTGAAGTTCTCTTCTTGTGAGCAACCGTCAATCAAATTCAGCTTAAAAAGTTTGTATGTTACCAATAAAAAAGAAAAAGAAAGGCTGGGCCCTGAGGCTCTTTTGAAGATTCATGTGTATGACATATTAACATACATGGGGGTGGGGTAAAAGAGTAACTGCAGGAAGCTTCGAGCGAATGCCAGGAGATGCTGCTCGATGGAGGAGTGCAAGAAGAACGACCGAAGAAGATACAGGAAAACATTGTTTACAATCACATTCACAGCGATGCTTTTTCAAAAAGACCGAAGAATCAGAATTCTCTTATAGGCCATATTTCATTAATTAATAATTTTTCAGAATTCTCTAAATGTTATTAGTATGAACCATGTATCTAGACTAACCAATGCTTTGTTTTTCTTTTTTTCTTTTTATTTTATTTTATTATTGTTGTTATATCTGGTTAGGATTGCTGCCATGAAATAAATTTAATTATAAATAAATCATGCAAATATAAATGTCCTTAATTGGGAAGGTCATGTAACTATAGTACATTTCGAATATTTGCTGTGCAAAAAGAAAAAGGTTGACAATAATCTGATGTTTAAATTAATTTTGAAGATAATACATTTTTACTTGATAGTTGAGAAGATCCATTCAACATTCCTCCAAAAACAAAGATGTGAGATCAAACCCCTGGAACTGCAAGGTCATTGGATAAAATACCACATGTACGTGAATAGCCAATATGTATTGTATGGAAATACACACGTGTCACTTGTTGCTTGCCACAAATTGAACGATACGGAAGTGTAGGAATTGGGAAAATAGGTGCGGGCTTGGGCCAGTCCAAGCCCACAATTTTCAGGCTGGGGATGGGCCGGGCTGAAAATGATCACCAGATCTCCTGCACTTAACACACTCATAAGTCTTAACCAACAAAAAAAAAATCATTAAAATTCGTGAGGTGGCAGATGGTTGAATGTGAGAGAAGATTAATTTGATCTCACATTTTAGTTTTTCCCCATTTTGATGAATTTTCATTGAGTTGTAGAAACAAGGCAAGATGGTACTAACACCCAAGGAGCAGCAGAGAAGAAAAACCCTATGCGTTTGTTTGTTTGGGCAGGGAGATTGACACTGTATTGTAATTGGATTCTCACATTATTCATTCGTACGTGAATAGCTAGCAGAGGTGTAACTCAGAGGAAATGATGGATGACACCCTCTTGGTGAGGTCTTTAATAAATTTTCAATTTTATGATTTTTACAAATTTCGCAGCAAATGAATGGGCTCGCATCTGCCCCCCACGGATTTGCACCCCAAATACATCCCACGCCTTGTGGGCGCGCCACACGTCCGCTCACACGCGAAATAAAGAGACTCGTGCGGAGTTCATAGGACGGCCGTTAGTTTCGCCCCGTTAGCTCCCTCTCGCCCAAAAGAGTTAAAGAGCATCATCCCCTTCTCCTCTTTCTCCAATTTCAGACCTGAAACTCTCTACCTTTCGTAATTCGCCGGAGATTGCTCTCTTCGAGTTCCGCCGATGATCGTTCCGGCAGGAGGTAAGTATCCCTCGACCTTCCGTAATCCATTCTCTTTCTCCAATTTCAGACCTGAAACCCTCCACCTTCCGTAACTCTACTTCTATGTTTGATGTTTATGAGATGACTGAAAACTGCATGTACACACTAGTGTGATTTCATGCTTTTATATATTTCAGTCAATCCACTTGGGATGCTGCTGCTAATTATTTATTTGGGATACACAAACGTTAGATTAGTCGTCTTCAAGCAAGTAAGGACAGTTACAGCCAGCACCCGCACCTTCAATCTCTTCACTGTCTCTCGGTTTCGTAGTGAAGGGCGGCCTTGATTTTCGTAGTGAGGTTGTTGACGGTCCCAACCGATTCCACGGTGAGCTTAGCCGTCGGCAGATTATTGACTAGTATCTGAAACGTCACCGTCGTAGTCCGGTTTTCAAACATTTGGCATGCATGTGGAGTAGTCCGGCAGAGAAGCGTCATTAACTCAGAGATGTCTTTGCTAAACAGGTGCGGGTCTGCGGCAACTGAATCTTGATCTTCTCTATAGAAGCAGAGAGGATCAAGATCTTACAGTTTGACGGATCCCATTAGGGAAATACCAATTCCAAAAATACTTTCAAAGGAAATGCCAGTTGAACCTTTATTCAGACTTCAAGAGTGTTCAGACATCAGACTACTCCACATGCATGCCAAATGTTTGAAGCAGGTGCAGAGAGAGAGTTCTCAATCCACATGGTGCTTCTCAGCCGGCGGAACTCGACCGGGTTAATTTCCGGTGGGTGGGTTACGAAAGGGCAATGGTTTCAGGGTTTCAGTTCGAAGTGAATGGAGAAGACTGAGAGAAGAAACACTTTGGGCAAGATAGGAATTAACGGGGGAGCCTGAAACGGCGTCAAATTGATTTCGCACGCATCTCGCCTAGTGCGTGTGTTTCATGACACGCGTCGCGTTTCGGTTTTGTGGGACGTTTTTGGGGTCAAATCCGTGGGGGCGGATGCGAACCCCAAATGAATTAATTCGGTGTTCGGTTATAGAGTGTGGGTAGTATATCCAAACTCATTACAAGTTTTTCTTCTCCTTTGATCCTTTCTCCTACTCTCTGGTCAGCGAAGACTTCCTTTAATTTGGCTCTTTGAATAAAACAGTCCGGGTCTGTCTGAGGCGAAGAAGCAAAAAACTTCGATGCTGCTTGGCCTTGTTTGTCCAGAGAGAACAACGAGAACACATAGGAGGAAATTCAGCGAAGGAGATGGCGTCGGCAACGGCAGTAGGCTCACGCTCTCTCCAACAAACACCCACCTGGGCTCTGGCCACCGTTTGCTTCTGCTTCATCTCCATCTCCATTTTCCTCGAGCACTCCATTCATCTCCTTACCAACGTAGGGAGTAGCGACATCGATCAACAATACAACAAGAATTAATTATCTCTTATTAATGAATTCCTTCCCTTTCTTTATCTAACCTGGAATCATATATCGTTGCAGTGGCTCAAGAGGCGTCAAAAGAAGGCACTGAACGAAGCTGTAGAGAAGCTTAAATCAGGTTAATTGGATCCATCATGTTCATGCCCATGACCCATCTTATTTATTTATTGACCAAATATATTATTTCCTTATCGATCAGTTTTCCTGTAACAAGTATTAATCAAAAGCAACTAACAAAATTCTACTTAATTTTGTGGGGGATTCCGACTTCTGGATTATGGACTTGTGATGGATTGGTGGCTGTGGCAGAGTTGATGCTATTGGGGTTCATGTCTCTTCTATTAACAGTAATCCAAAGACCCATTTCTTCCATCTGCATACCCAACAGAGTTGCAGAGACCATGCTTCCATGCCATAAAACCATGAAAACTACTACAAGAATAAATGGGCACTTGAATAGTGAAAGTCATTCCTGGAATCAATTTTTGGGTGAACATAGTTTATGGCAATCCCAAAGACGATTAGCGGAGGATAGCAGTGAAACCTTAGATCATTGTTCTGCTAAGGTATGATCGAAGACTTCTCTCCGGTCGATTGCATATATGCATATATACACATCACAAACGCAAATATATGTATAATTAATTAGCTAGTTTAGTGATCGGTTTTCCTATCAGATAACGATCGAGCATTCTTGCATGATTGCTGTAATGCAGGGAATGGTTTCTCTGATAAGCCAAGACGGGATCCATCAGCTTCATATATTCATCTTTGTTTTGGCTGTGATGCAGATTGTATACAGTCTTGTCACAATGGCTCTGGGAAGGGCGAAGGTGAATTTTATGTTGATCTTATGTTTTACTTTTACCCTTTTCCACAACCACAAGTACTACTAACTATATACCTATCCTGCTAAGTGCTCTATCCATGCATTAAAAAGTTTCGTTTTCATTTCATTTATTTTTAGTTTACTATGTCGCCTGTCGTCGGTGGTGGTTGGCGACTTGGGCCTGATCTGTCGTATATATTGTAAAGGCTGTGAGTCCTTTCTGAGTAGCTAGTCGTAATTAATGAGGCCGCCCAACCTTTACCAACACTCTGTTACTCTCTTCTTAGATCTATGATTTATCTTCTTCGGTTCGCTCAACTCACTCTGTCTCTTTCTCAATCTAGCCCAGATGAAGAACTGGAAAGCATGGGAGAAAGAAACCCAGACAACTGAGTACCAAGTTGCTAATGGTATTGTATGCAATCTCTTTCTGCCACTAGCTTTCAGCCATCAGATTGGAATTTAATAAGGAGATCCTGTGATATATACATAATACAATAATCCATCTTTCTTTAATTTTTCCCACTTAGCCGTTTGTGAGAAATATATAGTATATAGTCGGTTTGGGTCTGGTCCGATCGGACTTGGGTCATGCATGCTGTCAACAAATATAGAATTTGAATTCAACTTAGACTAGAACCGGCGACTCAACACGGCCCTTGATGCCTTGCAGGTTTAAATTAAAAATGAGCTAGGGAAGAAATGCTAGAAAAGTAGAAAACAGAATGGTTATTAGGTTCTTTTTTCCAGAAAAAGGAAATTCAAGTCACCGCCCAAAACCACTACCTTTGGCTCTACGGTTTACTCTTTTGGCGACATGTTTTTCCGTTGACTGTATATTTTTTGCTTTAGACTTGATGGTTAGTACTTAATAGGCCAAGAATCCGGCTTGGCTTGGCAGGGCTGCAATATGGCCCGGCCCTGTTAGCCCAAACCACAAAATGCTCCAGGTTTTGAACCCAGCCCACAATAATAAACATCAATTTATTCACTCTTTATATTTTTTCTTCTAGGATCCCTGTATAAGTGGAAGAACCACATTGTGGACTTACAGTCTACATAATTTGATTGCAAACTTGAAGGCAGATAACAAATATTTATAGACGGGACCGGATTTAGTAGGCATAAGTACATTCAATGAACACTTGATAAAATATTCTGACAACTGTTATAAGTAGTTTTTAATCTTTTTAAAAGGTAGTCTGGGGATATTTTAAGGGACAGGTGTAAAAAAAAAAATTCTTAAGTGTTCATGCTTACAACATTGTGCCTACCTGATCCAAACTGTTTATAGGCATGTAAGGGGACAATCCGGATCACATAGGCACTGTAAAAGAGACACCAGTCACAACTGAACGGAAGTATAGGAGAACGTTGAGCTGAGGAAACTAGTGTAGGAGATCCAGAGTCATAACGAACAGGTCAGAAACAAACCCAATTTTCCATATAAGATTCTAGGTGCACCCCTCCATTTTGTCCATCCTATTCTAATTCTATGGGTGAGAGTGACATCCTCTTCAATTTCTTTCTCTTATTATAAATCATCGAACAAGGTACCGAAACCCAAACCCAATGTGATAATTAATATACTTATCCTGGCCTAGGTCACTTTAATTGTGATATACAATATCTAAAACCAACCCAAGTATATATAATTCAATTGGAATTGAATTTGAATGGAGGTATATCCGATTCAAATCCATTTGCAGTCTCATTGGAACATCTTTGAGCTTTGAAAGTCTCTCGTCTTTGTCAAAGTCCGGTGAAGGTTTTAGTATTTGGTGTTTCGGCCGTAGAAAATGGGCAACTAGAGTTGACTCATGTAGTGGAGGTGATGAATTTGAGAGTTTGAATCAAATTTTGAATTGAGTAGGTTTTGCAATAGTTGGTTGACGTGCTTTCAAAGTGAAGGTGAGAGAATGACTGTTAGGGGTGGCAATTGGGCAATTTGGATTTGGATTGAGTTTCAATCCAATCCATTTAACCCATTAACCAGTTAATAATTCATTTAAATAAAATTAAGTGGGTTGGGTTTACCCAATCCATTAACCTTATATAAAATTGATGATGCATGATCTGAATGCCACGTGGCAAGCTGGATCAATCTGTGAAATAGGGATTAGAGAGACTGGAGTGGAAGACCCGATGAGGTCGCTCCAATGCTTAAGTTAGTAATATGCTATGATTGTGAATTAAAGCTTTGGATATTAAGGAGCTTGAATGTAAACAATCGCGCATACATGGGCTTTGGAAGGGTTACAACCCTTGTATAGCTGAGTTGTCGTGGATCTTATGAAACGGTCCCGAGATCTTCGGCCTAAGTAGATGAGGTCCGTTTCCGCTTTAGTCGGAGAATAACATACCAATTAAGGAGGTCTATCGTCTCCGCCCGATCCGGGCAGGGAGAAGATAAGGCCTTCCGTTATGCGGTGTGATCTCGTGAGGTTCAGAGTTCATTGGACAGCGTCTGGAGTTGATGACGTGTCACTCCGAGTCTTAAGCCCGAACTGGATTAGGTGCCGAGATGCCTTTACGCTGAGGTGACTCTACGCCGATGTGGTTTTGTGCCGAGGTAACCGAACACCCGAGCTCTAACTATTGCTGGCTGGGCTCTTTTCACTGAGTTGTCATCCTTCGGGCAGATCACATCCACGTGACCTCTACTTAATAGGTCGTGCCAAATCACCCTCCATCAACAATAATTTTAGTCCTATGTCTTAAAAACTAAAACCAACTCACTTTTAATAATTTGGTTATATACGACTTAATGGTACCATTTGTTTAATGCAAGTGCTCTAGGATCAAACCATATCACATGCACATAATTTTATAAAAAAATTAATCACGATAATTATGAGTTAATAAAGGGATGATAGGAATTAATTAAAAAAATAGCTAGACAACTTAACACTTATAGTCTTGTATCATTATCCGTTAATTTATTGGTTACCCGCAACTTAACCCAACCCAACACATTTAAGTTGACCCAATGGATGATTCAACCGACCACTAAGTAAAATGGACAGATTATAAATGAATCGGTTTGGCAGGTCTAATGGGTTGGGTATAAGATTGCCACCTCTACCAAATACATTTGATTGTAACAAATCCATTTAGACGAGGGGACTAGCTTGTGAAAAACACAAAATGCTATAAAAATTAAAAGGGTAAAATACAAAAACCTTTTTTCTGAAGTTTCTGACAATCATAAAAACCTCCCCTATAGTTTCATTTTAATAAATACCTCCCCTGAACTTTTGAGAAATTCAACAAAAATCTCCCTTCCGTCACCTTTCCAGACAGAAAACGTTAGACTGATGTAGTAGTTTCTTCCAAATACCCATTTTACCCTTTTTTAAATTATTTTACATACAAAATTACTGAATAACCATGTTTTAATTCGACAAAAACATTAGAAGATGTTCATTAAAAGGAGATTTTTGTCAAGTAAAAAAACAGGGTTATTTCAGTAATTTTGTATCTAAAATAATTTATAAAATGGTAGAATGAGTATTTAGAAGAAATTGATACATCAGTCTAACGTTTTACGTCTAAGAAAATGACGGAATGGAGGTTTTTGTCAAATTTCTCAAAAATTTAAAAAGAGGTATTTGTTAAAAACTTAAAATTAAACTAGAGTCTAGAGAGGAGGTTTTTATGATTGTCAGAAACTTCAGGGAAGGTTTTTGTATTTTACCTAAACTAAAATGAAGGTACCAGCTAACGTAAAGTCTCTTAGCTAGTTGTACACTTGGGGGTCGAGTACTTAAGGGTTTGGGCCTTCAGGTGTTCCCTTTCCAGATATAAAGTGTTTATATATTGTTTCTTTATTTCTTTTTTTTTGGTTTAAATGAAATTCAGATTCTAGACGTTTTAGATTTATAAGGGCAACGACATTTGGGAGAAGACATATGAAATCTTTCACAGGGACTTCAGTTCTGCTTTGGACTGTGAGTTCACCATGCCCATTTTCTTTTCTCTTCAAAATAGGTTTTCAATTTTATTTCTTTTTGTTTTTCGTTTTTTCTAAGGAAATATTGTGATTAAGTAATTACGTTTGCCTTTTTCGGGAAACGTATACAAAATGGAACAGAAATGCTTCTTCCGGCAATTCTTCAATTCAGTAGCAAAAGTCGACTATCTCACCTTGCGCCATGGATTCATTGCAGTAAGATTAATATCTTTAATTTGTAATCGTAAAATTTCCTGTTTCAAAAAAAAAAAAAGAAAGTAAGTAAAGTCTCTACTTCTGCGATTAAATATAACTTGTGCAAATTAATCTGATAGGCTCATATCTCCACCAACAAGGCCTTCAACTTTCATAGGTACATAAAGCGATCCTTGGAGGATGATTTCAAATTGGTAGTCGGAGTCAGGTAATAAATCTTGCAACTTAACATTCTGCTTGAAAGTTTTTCTTTCCATGCAATTTCACAGTGCTACACAACATGAGTATAAATACAAATAGGTAGAGTGCAAAATCTTACATTTTATATTATTTTATAAGTATTTATACTGTACATATTTGTATTTGTATTCCTTTCAAATTGAGCCTTAAGAGTTATCATCAACATTTACCAAACCCATTTAAGGTTGTTTATAAATAAATAAAAAAAAACATTTAGGGTCATTAAATTTAATTGTCAAGTAATTGAAAATCTGGTTTGGCCCTCCTTTTCCCTAATTAGAAAATGTTTTCACCGCAACCACCTAAATGTAATGGCGATAATTGAGTGAATTTGATTTGAGTTCCAACCCATTTAAATAAAATTAAATGAATTAGGTTCAACACAAATTGATATAACTTTAGTTTTAGATAATGCATTAAAAGTTAATATCAACTTATTTTTAACAACTTGGCTAGACATGACTTATTGGTAAGAATGCTTGTATTTCATATAGGTGTTATAACTTATTAGTAGCAAACTGGACCCATTAGCTGTCTGGAAAACTGATTGGATCAGTCCATACTGGTTATGGGTTGGACCATTTTATGTGCCAAATTCAATTGTCACCACCTCTACTCTTTTTTTTTGGTCACCACCCCTACTCTACTGAATTAATTAGGTACATCGATTGATTACAAGTTGAGTTAATGTTAGGTTTTAGTAGTTTGAGTTAATAATTATTTTCAACAATTAATCATAAGTTAATGCATTAATGAATGAGGTTAAGGGGCAATGGCAAATAATGAAAAAAAAAATGGGCAATTTAAACTTATCATTCATACGTGTGCCTATAAGGCAGTCCAATCCAATCCATTTAAATTGATCTAATGGATGTTTAACTACCAAGTAAATGAATAGGTCTGAATAGGTTGTAAATGAGTGGGTTGGGTCTGAATTTGACACCCCTACACCTCGTCAAAACGATTGTTAAATTCAAGGGTTCGACCATGATACCATAAAGACACGACGCTGGAAAAACTAGTAAACGATCAACCGGTGTTAATAACAGTGATAACCAATAAGGTGGTATGTCATGTCTTTCTCGTAGCATATTTTCTTTCCTAATTTAACAACGGGAAACAATCAATATACTTAGGCTGCATTTGGAATGCTTTTAAAGAATTAATTCTGTTAAATTCTGCGATTCTAAGAATCACCTCTACATTTGAATTTATGAAAATTGTTAGTATTAATAGTTTTCTGGGCTTAAAGTTCATTCTAAGAATTAAATCTTTTGAAACTAAAAAAGTATGCTAGGATAAGCTGCTTTTGAGCTTTGTGCTATGGAGGCAAAAATGTGAAAAAGTGTTGTAATTGGTAAGCATTTGTTACAATCAAAATACTTTTAACTCCAGAAACAGAGCCTAAAATTGGGGCTTTGTACTTTTTGGGACTTAAAAAAATTAACACAAAGGCTGAAACTTATCTAACCGTAGCGTTAAGAAAATATTATTTTTTTGGCTCAGAATTCGATCTTTAGGTAGTCATTCTTTCTTTGTGGCTTAAAAAAAGTAATCATTCTTTAAAACGGAGTTTTAATTAATTAATTAAAAGCTAAGGCATCTAGCATGTTTATTTTCCTCTCCCGTATGTCCTCTTGTTAATCAGATTTCTTTTAATTTGCCACAACAGTCCCGTCATGTGGTTCCTTGTCATCGTCTTCATACTCGTTGACGTGCATGGTAAGCACCATTAATTAATTCATTATTTCTTTCATTCAAACCCTGTAGTTTTGGTTTCAGTGTTCAGTTTTTTCTTTCCTCCTCAAACCCGGTTAGTTTACTGAACTGCAGGATGGAACGTGTATCTTTGGGTTTCCTTTCTCCCATTGATTGTAAGTATTAATTATATAAAAATAATAATAATAAAAAGAAGACCACTTTGTTTCTCATCACTTTTTCATTTCGAAATCATAGTAATCTAAAACTTACCCCAGCAAACCATTATTTGATCATGGCTGTAGATAGTATTAGTTCTTGGAACCAAACTTGAAGTCATTATCACAAGAATGGCTCTTCAGCTAAAGGACCAGAACACCGTCATCAAAGGGGCTCTTATTGTGGAACCCAACGACAATCTTTTCTGGTTCAAGGATCCAAGATTTGTCTTGACTCTTCTACATTTCACCCTATTTATGGTAATCCCTTCTTGACTCGCCAATAAACAAGAAATCTTCTCACATCCTTTAACGATCTTTTCACTCCAAATTGACTGATTCTATCTTGTTGAATCCTTTTAGAATGCGTTTCAGCTTTCATTCTTCATTTGGGTTACGGTAAGTTTTCTGGTCTGATCCCCTTGTCAAAAAATTAGTTAAAATTATCGGTACAAGTATATATACAATGACCTGATGTCTCTCGTATCATATTTACAGATAGAATATGGACTGAAATCTTGTTACCATGAGAATATTGAGATCATCATCACAAGGGTTGTGTTAGCGTAAGGATCCACAGCTAGCTCTAATTAATCTCTTTTATATAATTAATTAATTGCCGATTAGTGTTTCGTCATCTCTTTTATTGGTATTTTTTGTAGGGCTATAAGTCGGGCCGGGTTAGGTTGGGTTGAGACCAATCCTAAGTTCTAAACCCTAATCATAACCTTAACTAAATTCCTTCAACCCTAACCCAATCCGAATTCAATTTCGGGTTAGGCCCAACCCAACCTTCTTCCCATCCCTTAAAATCTCATAGAATTTTTTGATTTTAGATTTTAATTCAACTTTCACTACACATATTAATCCTATTTTTATTAGTATTTGTTTGTTGACAGTTTTTTTTTTTGTTCTTTTGGTACAAAATTCAGAAAAGCAGGTGTTAGAAATGACTATAGTTTATTATGAGTTATGGCTTATGATAGATCTTTCTTGGGCAGCAAACAACTTAGAGGAGATGAAGAATAAAATTTTCAAAAAAACATAAAATAAAATTATTAAAGTTTTAGTCTTTCTGATTAGGATTAAGTGAAGTGATTATCTTAAAAGAAATACATGATACTATATGGTGGGGGCTATACAAATATCGTGCATCTAAACAAATCAATGTATATTATATATTACATATAACATATATTTATATATTACATGTACTATAGAGTCGGGTTAGGGTTTCGGGTTCAGGTTGGTTAAGGGGTCAACCCTAACCCAACCCAAAGTAAAATCAGATTCATGAATTTCAACCTTAATCCTAACTCAAACATCAACCCAACCCAACTTTTTCGGGCTAGGTTCGGGCCAACCCGGCCCAAGTTGCAGCCTTAATTTTTTGTGCATAGATGACAGCGATCTTTTCCTCATTTCTGCAGTTGATGATTAAACTTCCTCTAAAATCTGGTTAATTTCTTTATATTTCTTACTTCCTAGGGTGACGGTGCAAGTCCTTTGCAGCTACATTACTCTCCCTCTCTATGCACTCGTAACACAGGTAAGGTGAAAGGGTATATATATTCAATGTACAAACAACAATCAACAAAGAACAAAGCAAAAAGTATGACCCAAATTACTAAATTCGATGGAGCTCTCTCAGTGTCTGGTATCCAGATAAAATCGCCAACTCTGGTTAAGTAATGGGTCGTTATTTAAAAATTAATGGTCAAGATATCTATGCAGAAATGCATGAGAGGAGGAGTGGATATGACTTGGGTGGTTGTGGTTGTGTTGGACGCAGATGGGTTCACATTTCAAGAGCGCATTGCTTCAAGAGCAAACAGAAAAGTTCATAAAGCAGTGGCATGCTGGAGGGAGGAAGAAGAAGAGAAAAGAACAATCGTCACATTCTCAATCTCATCCAAGTTGTGATCAGCCCAAAACTGAAAGCACCAACGAGGAGGCTATCCCTACCCCCGCCCAAGTTCAGGTTTCTTCCCCTTTATCCCCCACAGTCCACAACCAGAGTTTCCGAAGCAATTCAATTCCCTGGCAGAGATGACATCACTGAACAACTTGAAGAGGAAACAAGTTTGGGCAATTCAAACTCGGGGATAGTGGTAATAGAATTGCCACCGTCGAGGCGTCACCCACAATATATTTAGAAGGCCAGCGTTGAGTTGATACCATTTCCATATATCCGAGCAATCTCCTCAGCTTACAGTAGATGTCAAGGTCTGATGTTCTTCCTACAGGAAATTGCTTAATAGTTAATCCCACTTATATGTAACCAACACATCAGTAGTGGCTTCGGGGACCCGCTGAGGTCGCCAATTCATGCGCATTCAGGAAATGAAGGCTCATGGGTTTTTTTAAGGACGACTTTGTTTGCTATACAATTTCATTTGTATGGTGGTGCAAATGAGTTGAATGCAAATCCTTTTTTTTTCCTTTCAATCTTACTTTGTTTTGTTTGTTCACAGTGTATAAAGTCTAAATCAAAGTTGCCCAAGTAAATTTAAACTCCTTTCCTTTGTACTTCCATGCATTTGTACTAGTGAAAATAAAATTACATTACAAACAAATAGAAGCTAAGCTTTTGAACTATGGCTGTTGAAATTTCCTATTAATTAGGACCCTACATGGTTGGATTTATATATATGCAGCATATGGGTCTGGATGTAGTAGGCACGTTAGGTAAGCACAATGAGTGAATACCTAGTAGCTATGTGACATCTGTCCTATCTAATGTGTCTCTTATTCAAACGTTTTTGCTCCGTTAGACAGGAATTATCTGTTATCTTATTATTTGTGTCAAAATAATTAAAAATAAAAAGAAAAAAAAAAAGAAAAACTAAACGTGTTGGGAGTTGGAACTCATTGGACTTTCTCCGGTCTTCTTCCGTTTAGGGTTCTCTCTCTGATACCGACCTTCAACAACTGTCGAGTTCTCTCATACCACAGCTTTTCCTAGTCATTTTCTTCCTCATCCACTGTTTGCAATTGAAAAGAGGGTTCTGGACCAATTTGAGAGGCCTAGCATCATTCCTCTCTAAAGATTCATCTTCTTCGCTTTATTGGAAGAAAGAGAACTTTTAAAGGTTGGAGTTGGAATTTTGTGGTTGAAGGTTGAAGTTGGATAGAACTTGGTTGCAGTGGCCGAAGGTTGGAGTTGGGAGAACCCTAAACGGTAGAAGGTTGGAGCTTGGAGAGAATCCAATAAGTCCCAACACGTTTAGGTTTGGCTGTGTGACATTTGTCCCGGTTAACATGTCTCTCATCCAAATGTTTTTGTTCTATTAGACAGGAATTATCTGTTATCTTATTATCTTTGTTAAAATAATTAAAAATTAAAAAAAAACAAAAACAAAAAAAAAAAAACCTAAACGTGTTGGGACTCATTGCATTATCTCCAACCTTCGGCCCTTAAGGGTTTTCCCAACCCTATTTCAAGGCATATGCCATAGGGCCTTGCCTCAGTGCCCTCTAAAAGTATATGATAAATATATCTTGGCAAATTAATCTTATAGGCTCATTTGTCAACCAATATGTTGCGCAAAACCTAGAAATACAAATTTGAATAATACCCAAAAAAAATAAATAGAGATAAAGAGAAGTTAATAGAGAGAATACATAGATTTATGTGGTTTAACTTATAGGCTATATCCACAAGCAAAGGAGGAGCAGAAATCCATTATAGAATGAACAATGGTGAAGAATACATAACTATAACTATGTATACCCCCTCTCTCACACACACACAATACCCTAAACCCCAAATACACCTACATCACTCTTACCAAAAATAAATTACACCCACGTCACTTGACTTCTCATTAAAGCCAATGACAGTATATACAAGATAAAGCACTCTAAATACATTACTCTTTGTATTTTCATTAAGGATCATATTGAAATAAATACAAATATGTACAGTACAAATATATACATAATAATAATATAAAATGCAAGGTTTTGTATTCTACAAATTTATATTTGTATTCCTTTCAAACTGATCCTAAGTTGAAGTCCAAACCGCCGTAAGGCCCTATAATTTCCATCACAAACCACTATAAAATTTTGCGGTTTTTCTCGATTTCAAATGGATTGGGTCAAGAAACGGATCACAACAAGGAATTCCAACACGAACATAACAAGTAGTCTTCAATTTCCAAAGTATATAAAGCGATCCTTGGATTGGGCTGTCCAGTTGGGACAACCGATCTTCCAAGCCCGCTGATTTTGGAGCAGAATGTGGACGTCACCTCAGCGCAGGTCCAGTGGGCCAGAAGATGGCTGTCATCTTACAGACTACAGAATGGGTTCTTATCATTCATTATCTTCATAAATTTCTCTTGAAGGAAATTGATTGAACTGAACCAGGATGGAATGTATATCTGTGGGTATCCTATTTGTGTCCAGTTGTTTTTGTGCAGTAATTAATGGATCATCAAGTGGCCATGAATTCTTTTTGTCTTTCAAACTTATCTACTGACGACATAGCTACTTCACCCAGAATGACATTTTATTACGTTTGTAGATGGGGTTAAGTCCCGGCGGGAACCAAATTTGAGGTCATTGTCGCAACAACGTCTATTCAACCCAATGACAATCTATTCTGCCTTTAAAAAAAAAACCCAATTTTGTCTTTTGACTCTTCTATATTTTACCCTGTTTATGGTGAAAAACAAGAGATCTCTTCAGCAGTTGTCTCTAATTAATTAATTATGATCTCTCTTTCATCGTAACTGATTGTTTGTATATCCTGTTCTTTATGATTATTATTATTATTAATAGGTAGAAGTAATATGGGCTAAAATCATGTTGATTGAATCTCTCAGCCCCAAAAACAAATAAATAAATTAATACCCCTGTTTTGATGTGGAAATAGTAAAAATTTTTATTAAATGTTTAGAGCAATTTTTGAAGAAAGAAAGGCGTGAAGCCTGATATGACTTGGGTGGTTGTTTAGACAGAGGTTCACAGCACAATCGTACCTGCATTACTGAAACAGTAAACAGTAAAGGAGTGACATTCTTCTTGCAGCCAAATCTCCGAAGTTGGGAGCATCGACGATGCCACTCTCACATAGGTTTCTACTTTCTACTCCCTTATCCCCCCACCTAAACCCACAGTTCCCAAACCAAAACAATTCAGTCCCTCAGCACTACAAGAGAAAGAGAAAAAATCACTGGGGCTTAATTTACAAGACAACCTCGATCTATTTATTATTTACAACATCTTATATTATACCTTCACTGAGGGGAGTAGAAGAGTCAAGGGCAGGCCACCTAAGTAATGAGAAATGATTTAAAAATCCACAATTTAACAGCAAATAACAGGACGGAATGATGAAATAGAATTCAAGTAGCCGACCCCTAGCTAGGCTTAAATGATGATGATGAGTTATAAATGCTTGGTCCAGATCATTATAAATATGATACAGTGATGCTTCGCTGTGATTTCATGTAATACAGGGCTCAAGAGCTGTGTTTAATTGTGCCATGTTCCATTTGAGACCCTGAGACTAGGCGACTGGTATGCTTCAAAACTGCAATTTATTAGGCAGTGTTTGGCTTTCTTATATACAAAATAAGAGAGAAACAGAAAGCTGGGGGGGGGGGGGCATACTCCATACTAGTAAAGGAGGTGATCGCTCCTCTTCTCTCATTTTCCGCACACAGGAAGGTGAAAACCAAGTCTGACACAATTCCTCCCACGCCACGTATTGGGGACAGACCAGGCGTTCCCTCCCCTCCTTTTTGCTTTTATAAAGTGGAGTTCCCCCATCCCTAATTAAGAGCAGATGTAGACAAGATACTCAACTACTCCGTTCAAATAATACAACACTATAACTGCTAAATCGGGTGTTGATTAAGGGTTAAGAGGGGGATCACTGCCCTCCATTTTGTAGACCATCACCATCTGATCTGAAAAAAAGAAGGGACGGGTCTGGGTCAGTCAACAACCCATTCCTAGTCTGTAGTCTAGTCTAGTGTAGGCCGTGTAGCCGGCCCCCAAAGATTACCTGTCCCACCGGACCCACCCCTCGTTTCTATCCTCATTTTATATTTTTCTTTCATTCGTTTCCAGTCTTCTTTCACAAGTCACTAACACTACTACTACTACATCCAGTCATCCACCATCTTAAATATAAGATTTTCCAGACCGAAAACCGAAGAACTACTACTACTTCCTTTCTGTATGTGTGTGTCGTCGCCATGGCCGACAACCATCAATTACCAAACCTCGTAGAAGTCATGGATCTTCTCTGGTTTCATCACACCATTCTTTTCTCAGAATACGTGTCACTTCGGCGCCAACTCTCCAAACTCATTACAGAAACTTATCCAATGAAATCACCTTCAATTTCATCAACTCCCCCTTCCACGCCTCTTTCGGAGGAAGAAATCTCATCAGATTCGCCCCTTATCCCTCTCCAGGTAATCAATTCTCTCCTTTCCTTTCCGTTCCTCTTATTTACAACAATTTTAGCTTTAAGCTTAGTCAGCGAAATTCTTTCACTCATCATGTTTCCTCTTGCCATATATAATATAAATCACCGCAAGGTCTGTACAGAGACGAACAACAAGAGACCCACAAAGTCGGATTTCGACGTAAGCCAAAGCCGCTCTCGTTCATCGTCTCCTTGTATGAAGAAAGGCCAGAAACATCTTACATACTCCAACAATGACAGAAGCAGAAGAATATTGCAGAAGACCACGAGCTGCAAGAGTTTGTGGGAGCTGGAATACGAAGAGGTGAAGGGGTTCATGGATCTGGGCTTCACGTTTGATAAGGAATACTTGACCCCACGAATGATGAGTGTCATTCCCGGCCTACAGAGGCTTGGAAAGTACAACGACCACGAAGATGAAGGAGAGGATTACAGATGCGGAATGGAAGCAGCTGAAAAAAAGAAATTCAAGGATGATGAGGAAATTGAAGTGGAGAAAGAAGAGAAGAGAGGGGTGAGAAGGCCGTATCTATCCGAGGCGTGGTTAATAAAAAGACCCGATTCACCTCTCCTCAATCTGAGGTTGCCACGGGCTTCTGCCACCGCCGAAATGAAGAAACATCTCCGGTTCTGGGCTAGAACCGTTGCGTCTGTGGTTCGACAAGAATCCTGAATCGAGTCCTTGTGTGGTTTGACAATATAGTAAGGAAGAGAAGGAGAATAGGAAGAGAGAGAGACTATGCTTAATTGCTTATGCTCATGTAGCATTACTGGTCAGTAGCTATTGGTGAATGTTGACAGCCTTATGTGGGTAGAAGAGGAAATTGTTGTGAGATAGCGTTGTAATTACCTTGAAAGTGGATGGGGTTTGGGCTTTGCATCATCCCTGGACCCTGGGCTCGGCGCCGGAGTCGGAGTCGGCATATCGGCATCTCCAAGCTTCCGGGTATCTAATCGTTGGGGACTGGTTGGGACCAGATGTGATGTACCTCTTGATCTGATGGACAGACAGGAAGGACAACGGTGGCATCGACAGTTTGAATCGTCCACGCCTCTCCCACACGCTAATTGTACTTCATTTTAAGTCGGACCATGTGAATGTCACACTCACATGTTGAGGTTGGGAACTCTGGTTCGGTCTAGCCAGGCCAACAAAGGACAGCCATTACAGAAGAGAAGACGAGGAGAGACATTTGTTTGTTCTGTTCTGCTGTACAAAATAATAGCTAGTCAAATACAACTACAATAACAAAGTTTGATTTAATTTGTTTTTCAAATTTTCTACAACACAAAGACAATATGGATGTATGGCCATATGGGGTTGGGCAATCCCTTCCATTAATTAAAAAGCTATTTCTATTTCTATTTGGGGCCTTTATTTATTTTTTTTTTCCTGTTTTCAATTTCCAGTCAGTCAGAGTCTCAGAGCCAGGGGTCCAGGGTGGTTTACCCGGCCCGCCGACTAAAGGAGTAAAGACTTTTAACTATCCAATTTAAGAGTCAAAGTCCAGTCTCTCTGCTTCAATTCTCATCTCATTTTAATTTGTTTCCTTGTGGTTTGGATGATAATGATCGATAATTTGGGTCTATTCTTAATATTGTTGTTAGTAAGAGGTTGTCATTAAGATTTATTTAAGAAGCTGAACTGAGAGACCTTGTGGTGGATTTGATTTGTCTTTTAGTAAATAAATTATTAATTAAAGGACCAAGGAGCGGTTTTGATGAACTCCTTTTTACAACGGCTGCTGAAGAAAAAAGAATACAAATGGAGTAAAAGAAGCTACCATCAGAATTTAGACATATATCACATTGTGTTGTGATGCGACGCAATTTGGCTGTTCCTAGCCGGAGATGATTCTACTTCCAGTAGACGACGGAGTCGGTTGATCGAGAATCCGGGAGTGCTTATCCAGTGAGGTCACTCCGATGCTTTAAATCGGTAATGTGCAAGTTGAATATAATTTAGAAAGCAAGAGAGCTAGTAAGCAGTTATTGCGCGTACCTTTGCCCCCAAAAGGATGGGGTCTTTATATACTGGAGTCTTCGTGGGGTCTTTATATACTAATGCCCCCGGGTCCGACTTGTTACGAACGTCGAGGTGCCTGGTAACCGAGGTGATCTTGATGCAATTGTGCCCCGAAACGAACTTGTCCCGAAGTGAATTGGCTTCCGAGGTGAACCTGCCCCGAGGTGGTTCGGTTATCCAAGCTCGGTCCATCGCACACTTGGGTACGTTGGGATGAGCTGTCGTTCTGTCAACTAGGTTGTGTCCACGTGTCCGTCTATTATTAGGTCGGGCCAAATCACCCTACATCAATTGCCCCCCACTCCCCGGGCCAGGGGTCCTGACCTGATGCGGGGAGTTCATAACGAGCCAAGTGGATTTGGTCCAAGGACCGACCAGCTATCAGATGGCTCACGGGTCAGACTTGTTCGGCCACCCAGCTCAACCAGGAAAACGTAGGTCGCATTTGGTTTATGCGCGGACGTCACACGAATTATAAACTCCGCAGATGTCAAAAAGCGCGCTAAACCAAATTTACCCTCGGGGGTCGCACAGCCGGTTTTCCTAGGAGTCGTAGGGTTGCTTCAATCTCGACCGTTAGTTCTCGGACATAGCGGCTATAAATAGAAGGGTCCGCGACTTATCCTCACCACAAATTCTGCGATTGATCTCTCCCGAGGTCACGTCAAAGTCTTCCAGCTCGGTTTTCTTTTCATTTCCCACTTCATTCCTCATTTTCGGTGAGTCTCCCTTAGATTTTTTCCGTTTTCCAATTATGTCGAGTTCTAGCATAGATAGGCTTGTAGATAGAGTTAGCAAGGAGGGCGTCGTTGTTCTTGCCAGGGAAATCAGCCCACGGAAGGGTTCCTCCCCTCACTGGGACCACTTTGGTAACACATTGCCTTTGCTAAGTTGATGGTGTGCGCAACCTGGTGGCCTGGCCTTGGCGCGACCTGGCCCTGGCACGATCTAGCCCTGACACGAGCTGGCAGCCTAGCCCTGGCACGAACTGGTAGTCTGGCCCTAGCGCAACTTGGCCCTAGCACGAGCTGGCAACTTGGCCTTGGCATGAGCTGGCGGCTTGGCCCAGGCACGACCTGGCGGCCTGGCCCAAGCACCGACCTGGCAACCTGACACAGGCACCGATCTGGCAACCTGACAACCCCGAGGAGCTCACCACCATACCCCACTTTTTACGGGATTGTGACTTGTAACAGCTATATTAGCTCACCCACTCCCCGAGTCAGGCGGAAATGAGCAACCTTACCAGTTGGTAGCTTTATCCCCACCTAACACGAAAACAGGTCCCATCATAGAGGGAATCCAAGAACTACTCCACCTAACCCACAAGGACTCCAGTATATAAAGACCTCACCCCCTAGAGGCAAAAAAAAAAAGGGATGGGTAACCCCTGCTCTCTACCTCTCTAGCTCTCTCATTCTCTAATATCATTCTTAGCTCTCCACTGTATGGTAACTTAGCCATCGGAGTGTCCTCGTCGGATAAACACCCACATGTTCTCTGATTTAGTTCTCGCAGGTCCCTCAACTCCCACCGCTTATAAAGATGAGCAGATCATTGCCAGTAGGGAGTAGTCAGTTCAGTTCCCGTCGTTGCTGGTAGCCAGATCACCTCCTATAGGGAGCAGCTGGGTTGCGCCACACTAGAGGATTCCACTTCAGCCCCTGAGTCACTGGCCACTTGAGAGCAGACAAATTGACGAGGTACTTAGCCAAAAAATAATACGTGACCGGAAACCGTCACATCATCTTGTAACTCTATAAGAGGGTGAAAGGAGCATTCTTGTTGATGCATGGTCCTTGGTCATTTTTTGCCCAATAATACATAGTTCACTACTTTATGAGGCCATCGATTCCATCCTACTCCCAAAGTATCCATACATTACATATCCTCATTGTGAAACGATAGATATTGAGGTGAGAGTTGGGGCCCGGGAATCTCACAATTCTCAAATGTGAAATTGTTAATATATAGGCATATATGCATAGACACAGGCATAGGCATGGCATGGGCATCTTAAAATCTACCTATCTGTCAAATACCATAAGTACAGAAAATTAAAAACAAAATGAATATTATTGATTTGTTGAGAAACAGTTAAGCAAAACATAAGGTGGGGTGGAATCTGTGGGTGGTGGGTGATAGGACAAGGTTCCTCTCAGTCTCTGTCTCAGATGAGGATGTTTACTTAAAAGCAATAAGATAGTATGAAAGATGCCATATGGATCAAATTCTAAGTATATCCCGATCTCGACCGACCCTAAACATAGAAAATGCACCTTAATCCTTAATCCCTATCTGGATGTGAGAAGCGAATTGGGAATTGGAGAGGCCCGAGGCCCCCCACACCCCACAATTAATTAACAATTAACACCCTACACTGCGAATTCACATCTGCGATCGAAACATTTTCCGGTGATAGTATCAGATACGATGATGTTCCCAATATAAGGCGTGGATACAGTGTGGGACGTTGTGGGGCACCTACTGCTACCATCACGTATGGTGGTCGGTCCTCCACTCCTACAAACAACTCTCAACTGAGAGAAAGAGATGGACCTAGAGAGTAGAAAGAGACGACGCAGGATTGCGTGTTCCACCCGAGTGTCTCTGCTCTCTACCGTAATGAGTGTGTTCACGTGATGTTGTTGCTTTGTTTTGGCCTTTCCTCTCTCTCTCTCTCTGCTTTAAAAATCCTTGGCTATACAAACAAACTGACTACTAACAATCAAAAGTACTCCATTCCTCATCTTTTATTTGATTGGGGAGTGGGGACAGACGTGCCGTGCCCATTCATTAACTGGTTTTGATAGAAATCACACCCTCTGTCTCTGTTGTTTGTTAAAACTAGAAACAGGAAAGGCATCCGTTATTCCAGTTCACTCGCTGTCGCTAGGCTTCACCGGTTTGAATGGTGGTCCAACACCAACACTAGTCCACCCAAATCCTAATTACCCAACATCTGGGAACTAAAAACTTGTCTGCCTTGGGTCACCACCACTGCACCAATTCCACCATTAATAGATTTGTTCATGAGCTGGGTTCAGGTTTAGTTTTTGATAAAATTTAAATGGGCCAAAGCCCGAAGCCCAGGTTTAGATGTGAATGCTGTGTTAGCCTTGATAGGGTCCGGTGTCAAGTGAGAGAGAGAGAGAGAGGGGGAGGGAGTAAAGATAAAAATGCGTTTGTATTTGAAGCCTTAAACGCCATTCCTACTTCCAATTTTTTATAGGCATTCAAGGGAGAGTTGTCTGATATTTGAAGCCCCGGATTGGTCCATCATCGTATGTCGGACACCACTAGTTTCTTGGGCCAGGTCCAGCGCCTCTGTGAAAAAACAAGGTCTGGGCTTGGGCCTAAACACCCTATTTCTGAACCTCCTAGGCTGGTTTCTTGATGATTCTTTGGGTGGGTTGTCCAAGTGTTCATTCCTGTTCTTCGATCCTCTGATAACTTTTTTAGGCTCAGTTTGGAAAGAATACAAATATAGATATATACAGTGTAAATACATACAAAATATAAGGTTTTACACTCTATACAAAATACAAATATGTACAGCACAAATACATACTAAATAATACAAAATACAAGGTTTTGCGCTCTACAAATTTGTATTTGTACTTCTTCCAAATAGAACCTTAGGTTCAGTTTGGAAGGAGTATAAATGCAAATGTGTAGAGTGCAAAACCTTTTATTTTGTATGTATTTGCACTGTACATATTTGCATTTGTAGTCCTTCCAAACTCAGCCCTAAGCTCGGTTTGGAAAGAGTACAAATACAAATATATAAAAAATAATACAAAATACAAGGTTTTATATTCTACGAATTTATATTTGTGCTCTTTTGGAAGGAGCACAAATGCAAATATGTAGAGTGCAAAACCATATATTTTGTATTGTTTTGTATGTATTTGCATTGTACATACTTGCATTTGTACTCCTTACAAACTCGGCCTTAGATTCAAAACTGCCCATATAAAAGGCTTTATTTTAGACATATAACTGGAGTTTTGATGTTGAAATTGTTAGTTACATGAATAGAAGGCGAAAAGGCACACATATCATGCCATTTTCTAAACCCTAGTCTCTTAGGCAACAGTTAGGGCTATCAATGCACCAGATACTGGTCCAATTCGATCTGGTCTGCCCAAAATGTTCAAATTAGTTTTAATTTAGACCTGGTCCATCGACACCTGTGCTCTTATCATATGTCAATGAATTAGGTATTGGTTCAATCCAACCCAATCCAATACGGATCCATTACAAATGGACCAGATCCAATCCAATCCAACAAATATTTTGAATTGTTTAAAATCTGGACTGATCCAATTCAATATGTTTTATTGGTTCATCCAATCCATTCAAATTGATTTTGATTTGGACAAGTCCAGTCCAAACCTGATCCATTAACACCCCTAACAACAGTGATATTAATGGATCCTACACTAGGTTGGATCAAACCAGACCAGGCTTGAATCCGCATGATCCTAAGTCCTAACCTAAATAATAGATATAACTGGAGTTACTGGATGTATGTTATTGGCTGGCCAAATAAGGAAAGGAAAACAAGCGTGGATTTCTGTGTTTGTTTCTCTTAATTTATGGTTACATATATACAAGGTTCAAAATATTAATATAGGGTGATGCACCGGTAGGATGTATCGGTACTGTTTTTTTTTTTTTTTTTTTGAATCTGGTTCAGAGGGACCGATTTAAGGCCGATCTACCCCTTGAACCACTCACTGACCCGAAACACTTCCTGTAAGGACATATTGAGAAGGCCCTGATGTGATACATATCAGTCGATACGGCCCAACATATACCAAAATTCTGAACCTTACATGTACATATAACTTTGTTGGCTTACCATATTGTTGAACACCCCTTAAATTTGTAGTGGTTAATCATTCATAAGCTATTCGGGCTTTTATGTAAGCACTACAATGTGTACTGAATGGAGCAGACTCCTATTACTAAAATTTGTTGATGCATGCATGCCACAATTAAACTTGATTTATGAAAAGAAGAAAAGCATGGACCAAGTCAGTGGGGCGGATTGGTCCAGATAGTGAAATTAATTCCATCTAGAAGGCAATACAATTGAAACCAATTGACACAGTTTTTTTAGTGTTTTTTATTTCTCTCTCTCTCTTTGTGTGTGTGTGGTGGAGAATGTTCCACACTTACACTATCAGATTGTGATTTATATTGACTGTAAAAACATCATGGCCACTTAACTCATGGAGCTCAAAACAATATGCCACTTATCCTTTAAAAGAAGAATGATCATTTCACTCTCTCCACCACCAACTCATTGAGTTATTACTTGTCCAAAACTAGTTTTTCCAATGTGAATATAATTATCTCCACCCAGCTTTGGCTTTGATCAGATTTTTTGTAAGGCTGACATGGGGCTCCACATTCTAAGCTTTTTATCCTTTTAATTAGACTCGGCCCCTTACTTCTTCTCTATTCTATATTTCTTCCGATGTAAGGTGTCCTTGTCTTAATACACTGTTTTCAAAATCGGACTGGATTGGATGGTTGGACCGAAAAAATTAGGAACTGGTTATCTGATCAGTCCGTTTTTCTTCAAAACCGTTTTTTTTCTTAAAATCATTGATTTTGGTCAGTAAATTGCTGAATTGACCGGATAAACGTTCGAACTGTTTGAACGGTTTTGACCATTTTCCGATTTTTTTAAATTTTTTTTTATTTTTTATCAGAACGGACCAGCCGTTTGGATCAAACGGTCAGACCGTTCAAACCGGTAACCGGACCCCTGACCTGTTCGTTTTTAAACACCATGTCTTAATATATACATTCTAGCTGCTCTTAAATTAATCTACCTATTTCTGTCACGTAGAGAGGTGTTGTAGCCAATCCAGTATCCAGCCCATTCATCAAATGGGTGAGTCACTTATAAAATTAGTTTATTTTGTAACGTGACAAGAGGTTTCGGGGAAAATTTTGGAAAAACCGTTTTTAAATTCCAAATTAATTTATTTGCCACGTGTACAAAATCTTTGTCGTTCAAATAATGTTGATTGAACCACCTGAATTGATTTTTTTTTAACTTTTCCACCCAACACAATACACATCGCCGAGGACGAGTTTACATTCTATGGACCCACCATGGTTTTCAAAACTGGACCGGACCGTATGGTCAGACTGGAAAACTGGGAATCGGTCAAGTGATCGGTTACATTTTACCCCAGAATCGTTATTTCACCAAAAACCATTGATTTGGTCAGCAAATTGCTGACCCAGGTGGTTGAACTGTTCGAACTATCTAATGGTTTTGGCCGTTTTTTATTTTTTTTATTTTTTTTTATTTTTTTGTCAGAAAGGGCCGTCTAAAGAAAGCTATGTATACGTTAAACATGCAATGAGTTGACTCTTAAAGCGTGGTTGAAGACAATGGATAATTTTTTTATATTTAGAATTTATCACTTTTCTTAAGGTCATTTAGACTTCAATATGTATTAAGAGAAATTTGACATATGTAATACATTTTAAACAATGATGTATTCAAATTATAAAGGGCATGTAATTTCTTATTACAATAATATAACCATTTGCTAAAAATTATATAATTTCCATGTGATGTATGAATGAAAAATGTATTGCTTTAAAGTGGTGGTTCCAATTGTTGTTTTTATTTTTACTACTTCAATTGGAATATAGCCACTATTTAAAAATAAAAAAAATAAAAATAAAATAAACTGTAGTTATAGATTAAAGCAATTAGATACGATTTTGAAAGAAATTGTGGTTATAGATTTTAGGTTTTAGCCATGTTTTGTTAAAAACCGTAGCTATAGATTAAAGCAATTAGCTATGGTCTGTCAAAAAAGGAGTAGGTATAGGTTAATTATTTAGCTTCAGTTTTGGCAAAAAACCGTGGTTATAAGTTGGTACATTTATCTACGATTTTGTAATAAACCATAGCTATAAATGAAAAATTTTAGCTACGGTTTTCTAAAAATCCGTGGTTAGATTTGAATATTTAGCTACCAATTTTACCCTCACCTCTCTCCCCTTCTTTTTCCTGTTGGGTTCAGGCATAGATTTCACCAATAAGAGGGTTTCACCATGCTCTTCATCTTATTAAAGCTGCAAAATGTGATCATCAGAGGATCCGATCGATCCATTGAGAAATCAGAAGAGCTTGCTTGCAAACTCTTGTTTGGCCTCTCCGTCTATTGAAGATGCTGAACCAGCTAGATCTCTAAGTTCTGATAGGCTCCTTCCCAATTGCAAAGCCACCTTCAGTTCAAACAATTCCCCATTTTCTCTCTTCTCTACGTCCTTTTCCTTCAAAGTGGATTCTATGGACTCCTCCATACATCTAAAGAAGCCAGCAGTGCTCCGGTACATCTCAAACACCATTCCAACTTGCCACCATGCTCCAAGGTGTTGATAACACTTGCCAAAGCTCTAGCAGTGACACCCAACAGCACAGCCCATGTTTCATGAGAAGAGCATCCCACGAAAGCTGACCCAACACCTGCGAGACCTGTGAGTAAAGGACCAGAAATGGCTAAAACTCTGTTAACTTTCAAAGCTATCTTGCCCAGTCTCAGGTACTCTTCAGTGTCCTTCCTCTTCAAAACCGCAACTATCTGCTTCATTTCCTCTTCCAGCTCTCTGTTCCATCCATTTCCTTCTCTTCTTCCACCCAAGTCTAGTTCTCGTAATTTACTTTGTTGTAGCCACCACATGATAGGCTCCACGGCTTTAGGGAACTTGTCAAGCATCACTCCAAGCAAGGGCAATGGGTAAGCCCTGTCAAGAGCAAACACCTTGTCCATGGCGTCCTTAACATYCATGGGACTAGGACTACCAAGTGTAAGAGTTGTTCGGATTTGCCCGTGAAGTTGCTTGAATAGCCTTGCCGCATTGCGTTGTTCTTCTACGAGTTGCGATGGCTGAATCTTGTTCATCACCAGCAACATCCCAGTAGCTGCCCTATATAATAGAGTAGATGAGAGCTTTAGTGCGGCAAGTGGCGCTCTCGTTCCAGCTGTTTCTGCCAGCCCGACCATCGTTGCAGCGGTGATGGTGATTGTATTAATGGAGGTCAGAAGGAGGTGGTTCCAGTTATTCCGCTGCTCTTGGATGTTGGCATGCATCTCCGCCCTGTCTGTAGCAGCTTCAATGATTGCATAAAGCTCCACAATGACCGTAGACTTGGAGTTAACATCAACATCATCTCTCGTGGTTTTGGTAGCAACTTTAGTATCAAAAGGCTTCATTTCTGTCTGGGTAATGGTTGTGGCTGTTGTGTATCCACTTCTCAACTTCAATTCCTCAACCAAGTCCGTGGTCCGGATCTTTGGAAAAGAAAGAGAACTCGGTTGGAGTTTTGGGGTATTAAGAGTAGCCGATACTCTTCTTCGTCGTGAAGATGATGACGAGGAGGAAGAGCACAGGAGACTGGTAGTTCGAAGAGTCGCCATGCTATGCTGACGGCCTGATGCTCACAGTTTGCCAATTTTTTTTGGCTTCCGATGTTACGGTTGTTGTTCTGCAATTGGGTTTTTGAGAGGATTTTTGGTTAATCAAAACAGACCACTGTTTCTTGGAAACTACCGGCACAATAAGTAGATCGACGAAGACCCGTTTGAATTTGGAATACAAGCATCCAGAGTCCGGCGAGATTTCGATCGAAAACAGCTCAAATGGCTGGCAAATCATTGGTCGCATGTGCATGAAATAAAAAATGAAGAATGGGAACTAAGAGAGGTTACAGAGCAAAATCGATGAACTGGTCCATACAGTTTTTCGTTAAATCCGCACAGTGAACAGGCGTAGCTTCCCACGGTCACCCACTTCAATCGTCCTTTCCTAGAGCGTCATCAAAATTCACGCTTTCAAGCCTTCATCTCAGACCTCCTCCTCTGCCTCTGGTCTCTCTCTCCTTTCTCCGTTCTCAGACCTCATCCTTCGCCTCTGTCTCTCTCTCTCTCCCAGCCTCCGTTCTCAGACCTCCCTCTCCGCTCTCCGGTCTTTCAGTAAATTATTCTGTAATTTCAGTTTTGATGGAACTCCATCGAAACACAGTATGGGATTTCTTTGCATGTTTAAGTTGTTTTATTTTGAAAATTTGAAGAATCATCAAGGGTAAAATAGTCTTTTTCGTATTAAGTATTAGGATAGTTTGATATATTTATGATAATGAATAGTTTTGCTGATGTGAAAGTCGGATCCCTGAGAAGTGTGTCTTGGGGGAAAATCCTTCCATGCTCGAGTCAGTAAAGGGTCTGTTTGATTGCTGAGAAAAGGATGAGAAAAGGGAATATTCTCGAATGATTTTCCTTTTCTTGCGTTTGTTTACGGGTAAATAGTGTTTTGGGATGAGAAACAAGAGGGATGCAGGATCCCAAAATTAAGTGAGCGGGGTCGCACCAAAACAATGCGACCCCAGTGAGAAAAGAAAAGGTTGAGAAAACATCTCGAGTTTGTCAAAGCAAGAAGTCGAAGGCACCGACGGAGAGAGAGAGAGAGAGCGAGCTCAGAGAGGGAGAGATGGAACACGAAAGTTGCAGAGGAGGAGCTAAAGCAATGTTAAATCTTCAACCGAACTCCTCAATCTCGACCGCTTATCACCCCCACTTTGGGCCCCATGATGATCTTATGCTTCTTGAAATCGACGAGAAGCTGCTTCCTGATATCCTTCACAACAGGTAATCGCAATGAGTTTTCAACTCTTCAAATTTGATTTCTTAGGTTTCATCCATATTTCTTTTCTGTATCTCTGCAATTTCTTCGACTTGGGTTATGATTCAGTATTCAGTTCTAGGGTTCTTTATTTGTAGAGTAAGTCTACGAGGTCAGTCCGACGAAGAAGTTGTTCTTTGTACGCCGTCCAAGACTTATGCCGTCAAGTTGTTCGGAACCTCCAATTTTGTGTTCCTCGTTCCTCCATCAGATCCGTCAGAGTCGAGTGAGACTGCTAGCAATGAGCCAGTGGTTGCATCGGTACTCAAAGTGGCACTTGGAATTATGGAACTTGTGGAAGTTGCTCCCAAGCTGGATAAGCTTAAATTGCTCCTCATGGAGAACCCCTACAGACCAGAAGATGAGATGGATGTGGAGGAATTGGAGGAGATTGAGAAAGACAAGATGGGTTTGTTTCGATGGGAGGACTTAGTTGACAGGATACAAGCTAGTGATGAGGAATTGAGAGCTGGTCTGCGAGCTCTTTTGGCTGTGGAGATTGATGGCTATTGGAGAATCGTGGATGAGAAGTATATGGATATTGTTCTGAGTATGCTTTTGCACAATGCGGTGTTGAATGGATGGTCTTTAAATGCACTTAAGGAAGATGAAGTTGTGGGCATGCTGGAGGCTGATGGGTTTCCCCGCAGGCTAGCACTGCATTGTTTGGAAATGTATGGAGGCCAGGTAAGAGAGGGGAATGGGAGCAACGGTAGAGCGTGGGTTTTGGATGAGAGGTGGGTTTGTATTCATTTTGCCAGAGTGGTTCTGAAAGGAGGGAAGATGAAAATGGAGAGTTTTATGGATGAGTGGATGAAGAAAATTCCTGCTCGGATGTCTGCAAGCTTTGAGATGTTGGAAGGGGAAGTGTTGGTAGAGAGGCTTGGAGTTGAGACATGGATCCGTGCCTTCAGTGTTTCATCTCTGCCCTCCACTCCTGTTGATCGTTTTGTAGTGCTCTTTAGGGAGCGACAGAAGTGGGAATGGAAGGATTTACAGCCATACATCAGGTTTGCTCGGATCCCTCTCTCCCTCTTCCTTTCTCCTCGTCTTCTTGGCTAATTTATTGAAACTGTTCTCCTTATTACTGGATGGGTTGGAATTGATTGCTCTAACTTTTGTTTCTAATTTTGTATTTATAGAGATTTGCGTATACCAGGTCTCCCATCAAAAGGATTGCTTCTAAAGTACACTCGAAAAATGCAGCCTACCTCAGATGCTGAACCTGTTTTCAGTGCAAGATAATCTCATCGTGCATCTCACGGGGTATTCCATGCTTGTCTTCTAATGAGTGGTTAAGATGGACTGTTTACAAGGTTGAACCACATAGTGCTATAAACAATTAGTTCTGAAGGCATCTTTACTGTCCCATCAGTTGAATTGTTCAATGGCTTTGCCATAAAATTACTAAATCTATTACATAAATCCTGTTATACTTGTATCTTGTTTTACATAATAATTTATTAACAACAGGCTCTCTGATGGGATGTCTGGAGTTCTTTTTGTTGATCACCCAAGATATGTAAAGGGCCCAATATAGGTTCATTGTGGGAGAATGGAATTGGTTTCTCTTAGCCCCCTATTAAGGTGCTGCCTTTAATGGTTGATAATATCTTTAGTTAATCTTTTTCAACAACACACATTTTCATCACTAAAGTGCTTTTTTTCTATGTCTTTCTGCTGAAGTGACTATCGGTGTTCTTCTGCTGCATCTACCCTAGAACCTAGTAGAGGGTTTTATCTAGCTTTTTATGTGCCTTTGTTGTCTTTTTTTGGTGATGCAAATCACAATTACATACTTCGAAGATGGTTCTGCTTAATCTTTGATGGTTTATAATCCCTTGGAAGATACTCCTTGGGGATGTCTGTGTAAAATTTGAATATTGAGCCAGATAATAGGCTTTTAGATTTATATTGACAATTTGTTGTGGCTAGAGAAGATGAAAAAGCTTTGGCTGATATATTGTGTACTGGTTTGTTGAGGCAGAGACCTTGTTAGTTCTTAAATAGTTAAGCTGCACTTTGGTGGGTGTGTCCTCAAGAATCAAGACCTGGGTCCTTTGGGGCCCAAAAGATCAATGAAGATGACTATTGTATCTTCTTAATCRCCTTTCTAGGTCCATGATTATCAATGATTTAAAGAGGCAAGGTTTATGGATTTTAATCATGATTATCCATGATTATTAACAAACTAGCTACTAATTATATATGACAAAAATTTGTTTTGATGGTTGAGCCTTGTCAAGAATCATATGTGTCATACATTTGGGGGGTGCAAATTGTCATAAAAGTAAATTATATGCATTTTTTTAGTTGAGAAAAATTTTCTCAGCAAACAAACACTAGAAAGTGGATTTTCTCACAAAAATTTTCTCAGCAAACAAACACATTAAAACTAACTGAGAAAATAAATTTTTCTTTTCTCATCCCATCCTTTCTCCGTCCCATTTTCTCAGTAATCAAACAGACCCTAAAGAATCATAAGATGGGGAGGCTAGGTGGATAAGAAGGCTTAATGACAATTGACAAGGTATGGAATTAAAGGGGGGCAAAAATATATTCTTTTAAGTTGCTTTTTTTTTTCTCAATGGGCTACATAAGGGCGGGATAGCCCATTCCCAAACCCATAAAGGCATAACACCCCCCGCCCACCTAGGTACCTAGGTGCAGGCAGGATTCGCATCCCAAGTGAGACCTTACCAACCATAACTAAAATGTTAGGGATCGATTAAGATATCAACACTGGCACCTATGTTATATCTTAAAAATCAAATTCAAGTTTCATTCTCCTGTCTCTTGAATACAGCCTTTCCTAATATCCTAGCCTAGCTAATATTAATGGAAAGATTTGTAGTTGTAGCCTCGTAGGGGAGGGGAGGTAGGTAGGGGATTATTTACAGAGTCACTTTCATGCATGTTCCAATATTTTGGCCTGCTGCACGCGCAGGAAGAATCTGGGCTAAAGGTCCATGAGGTCAAAGAATGTGAATTAGTGGGTGGCCAAGCATAATTAAGCTTACTAGTAGTGGGGGCGGCTGTGTGTTTTTGTGGGTTTGGGCGGCCGTCCATTCATCTCCCACTACTTCCATCCCTCCTTCTCCTTATATAAATACACAACCCTCACGCCATTTCTCTCTATCATCACCTCACTTCCACACTAGCAGCTTCCAGTCCCCAATATATAAATATGCAAATGGCCCTCAGTGAGAATTGCCCGAGCCCAGGCCTCACTTTTCTGTTATTATTGCTAGCTTTACTGTTTCATGCCGGTAACATTATGTCTCTCCGACTCATCTTCTACTCTTGTTTTAATTAGCATAAACTCAGTGCATATATAGCAAATTATATAAATATATTTGATTGTCATATATATATATATATATATAGGAGTGTCCGATCTTGGGTTAAATTTCTACTCGGAAAGTTGCCCAAGGGCCGAAGAGATAGTGAAGGAACAAGTGACGAAGCTTTACCAGAAGCATGGAAACACTGCAGTTTCGTGGGTCAGAAATCTCTTTCATGATTGCATGGTTAAGGTACACCTTCATTAAGCAATCCGTTCTGTGGTAACGTAATATTATCTTCTAAGTAATTAATTCATTGGTGAATCATCTTAATTAAACTAACAAAGTCTGGATGCATGGTTATTGCGCTGTGTTGTTGAATGTTGATATGCAGTCATGTGATGCCTCGGTTTTGCTGGACACGACAAGCAGAATTGTGTCGGAGAAGAAGTCACAGAGGAGCTTTGGGATGAGAAACTTCAAGTACATTAATACCATTAAGGAGGCCCTCGAAAGAGAATGCCCCATGACCGTGTCTTGTGCCGATATTGTAGCTCTTTCTGCAAGAGAAGCCATCGTCATGGTACCAATACATATCATCCAATTCATCATTAATAATCCCTACAACGTCGTAACTTGTTTGTTACTAAAACTGGTGACTGGTGAGTGAACCAAATATCACCAATGTCTCTGAATAATAATTAATTCTGTATATCGTTCGTCAATGTCGCTTGCTGCAGCTAGGAGGCCCGTACATTGCTGGGATGAAAACTGGGCGAAGAGATAGCAGGGAAAGTCATATCTCCGTCGTCGACGACTTCATCCCCAACCACAATGACACCATCTCACTTGTGCTTTCACGTTTTCAATCCGTCGGAATCGATGTTGAAGGAACTGTTGCTTTATTAGGTAGTCTCTCCTCAAATTCTAGTATTCTACTACATCCAACATCCTCTTCTCTTGGGCCAAGCCTTTCAGCCCAATCCAGGATTGCTGAGGGGCCTGGAACTAGGCCTAGTCCATAACTCCATATTATTAGGCCTTACTACTTACTAGTAAGTACCAAGTAGGGACTATGTTGTAGTAATAGTATGTACTAGCTAGATAGCTTCAAATAAAAGTTGTCTCGTTCGTTTTAAAGAGTAGTAAATAATTTCTATATATATGAATGATATACTTACTAGTACGTAGAACGTACAGGTGCTCACTCCGTTGGTCGAGTTCACTGCCTCAACATTGTAGGTAGGTTGTACCCCAATGTTGACCCCACCTTGGATCCTGAGTACAGCGAGTACCTGAAGCGTCGGTGTCCATCACCACAACCAGACCCACAAGCAGTGCAATATGCAAGGAATGATCGTGAAACCCCGATGGTGCTTGATAACATGTACTACAAGAACCTGCGAACACAAAGAGGCCTGTTGTTGGTCGATCAGCAGTTGGTTTCTGATCCAAACACATCTCCTTTTGTGGAGAAGATGGCGTCGGACAATGCCTACTTTCATCATCAGTTCTCTAGGGCTCTACTTTTGCTCTCAGAGAACAATCCCCTCACTGGTGACCAAGGAGAGATTAGAAAGGATTGTCGCTTTGTCAATACCCAGTGATCCATCCATCCATGTCTCACCAAATACTTAATCCCATTTGTTTTTCATGTGTAATCCATGGTGAAGAGCTCTTGTGCCAAATAATGACTTCAGTTATGTTGCACCAAACTAGTTTTAATTAATTTTGGGGGCTGTTTTGAGTTAAACAGTCGTCAAACACTTGACATAAAAATACAAGCCAGGGGGTGTCAAAAGAAAACATCAATTTGATGCATGTTTCCTGCTTTGAGAAGCAAAGTCTCAACACCTTGACTTGACTTAATTAATGTGGTTGGTACTGATGTGATCTTGATATGGGCAATGTAGTAAATTAAACCAAAAAAAGAAAAAAATTCTTTTAAGAACATAGAGATATATTTTGTACAACTATATATAACACAGTTCTTAGAAGTTAGTTCTTAAATGTTTTGATATATAGACAGAAATGAGGAATGAGGAATTTGTCAATAGAAACGTCCAAAGCCAGAAGGATTATTTGTAATGAGCTTTGTCAGTATCTTAGATTCAACCATACAAGGAGGAGAGAGGGAAAGAGAATATTGTATCTTGCAAATTAAATGCTCACCGAGTAGCGTATATATGAACAAAAAAAGTATAGCCCGGCTCCAATATTAAATATATCATGCAGAGTACTGGCGATAAAGAATTACGATTTTATATATTTAGGGTAACACTAATTGAACAATTAGGCCGTCGAAATTCGACCAACTTTCTACCTAGCTAGAAGCATTTACTACCTACCTATGCTATGTACAATAATAATCTTCTTTTTCTTCTTGATTTTAATTTAATTTATAAACTACTGCAGTCCAATCCAAGCATGCCTCCTTTGTTTTTGCCAAAATTTTTGAATGATCAATGAGGTGACTTTATCATCCATCATCAAAAGATAATTATATAAGTATTTAGGTTGCATTTGACATTCCTTAATTTACCTCTTTTTTTTTTCAATTAACATGCTCTTACGAACACCGAATCTTTAGGCTGGAAGGAGTACAAATACAAATATGTAGAGTGCAGAACCTTGTATTATGTATTTGCACTGGACATATGTGTATTTGTACTCTTTCCAAACTGAGCCTTAAGTGTAAAAAGGAAATGAATCCCTAAAATAAGGAATTCCAAATGCAGCCTTAATATATAGGAGCCACAATTCTCTCCACCCAGTGAGCTTTTTGATTTCTTTTTCCTGGCTTAAGACCTTTACATTGCTTTCTGCATGATACCTTGTTTTGGTTAAGATGAGCCTGCAGCCCGATTGGTAGGACCCAAGTAGTGGGTCCCTTTGCCAAAGACATGGCACACCTGGCAAGTTAGTAAGGTCTAAAACCCAAAAACTTGGGATTCTCCGCATCCAGGAGAGATCGGCTTCCATCAAGGCAAACCTGTGCCCACACCATTCTAACAGCCTTTCCTAACCTTACATTGGGAATATCTCCCCATGAAATAAAGCACATAAGTACGGAGATATTCTCAATGCAAGGCAGTAAAAGGCTGCTCAAACAGGCTTTGCCCCGACTGAAGCCAAACTCCGTCCAGGAGGCCATTGCGCTAGTTGTGAATTGGTATTGACTCTTGAGGTCTTGATAATTTATATATATGATCCTCAATTCCTCATCCCTCATGCCATGGTTATCAAAATAACAACTTTAAGGCTCACTTTGCAAAGAATACAAATACAATTGTGTAGAGTACAAAACCTTGTAATTTGTATTATTTTGTATGCATTTATATTATATATTTGTATTTTACTCTTTCCAAATTGATCCAAACAATTCTTGGGAACTTTCATCCAAAAGAGATGTTAGGACTATATATATATATGACCCATAACTCAACTTGTATAGATTTACAATTTTGTTAAGGGAAAATTCCTGATTAGTACCCTGTAGTTTGGGCCTATTGCCACTTTGGTCCCCGAGCTTTAAAATGTGACAATTCAGTACCCAAACTTTTAAAATGTGACAATCCAGTACCTGTCGTTAAATAGCTGTTAACCAGCCATTAAGTGGCATTTGAAAAAAACACAAATGCCCTTCAAGTGTTATTTAATTTTCTTTGTCAACCATCTAAACATTGACAAAAAATTAACAGTCTCGAATCTTTGCCTTTATCATTCAAGAAAGTTGGGGTCACATTTAAGTGGGCATTCTGGTGACCCCAACTTTTTTGAATAGAAGAAGTAATGATTTAAGACTGTTAATTATTTTGTCAATGTTTGAATGGTGGATAAAGAAAATTAGATAACATTCGAAGGGCATTTGTGTCTTTTTTCAAATGTCACTTAATGACTGATGAGGGCAGATTTGGCCCTCTAGTGAAGTTGCGACACGTGGCACCTCGTGACAACTAGGCAAGCCCCCAAGCAACAACTTACCAAGTTGGTCCCCCCCCCGGGCGCCGGC